CAGCCCCACTGTCCAGCAAAGCTGGAGCCCCACACTGTCTTCAGGGAAGCCCCCAGGTTTCTTGGAGCTCAGAGGTGTGGGGGCTGTGTCTCACAAGGGCTCTCAAGACCCCGCCCTGGATGCCAGTTCCTAAATTCCCACCTTAAAGTGACTCGGGGTTTTGGGCAGCAGTCTCTGTGCTCCGAAGGGCCTGGATGGAGGGCAGCACAGTGTAGTGACTGACAGCACAGATGCCCCTGGACTGTGAGGTGTGAAGCCCAGCTCTACCCTTATTGCTGTGGGACTCTAAACGTGCTGGCCAATCCCTCTTTGCCTCAGTCTCCTCCTCAGCCTCCCTCGTAGGGCTGTTATGAGCGTTAAAAGAGTTTAAGGACAGGGGCACCTGGATGGCTCAGTCCATTAAACGTCCTACTCTTGATTTCAGCTCAGGTTCATGATCTCATGTTTGTGAGATCAAGTCCTACGTCGAGCTCTGCTGACAGTGCAGAGCCTGCTTGGGATTCTAACTCTCTCTGCCCCTCCCTCTCCCCCTTAGAAGAAATAAAAGATATTTAAAAAAAAAAAGAGGAAAGAGTTCAAGGACAGAAAGCACTTAGAAAGTGCCTGGCACAGAGTTAGTGTCACGTGAGGTTTTGCTCTTCCTCAGGGCCCACGGGGAGAGGACGGAAAGGAGTGTGGCCAAGCAGGTGTGCCTCTCGGTGTCCCATCCCTGCACTGACCGTCACAGCCTGGCTTCGATCTATGTACCCTGGGGCACGGCACACTACTCTGTTTTAAAAGGTCTGTGGCTAAAAACGGTTTGTGGAGTCACAATGCCTAGGCTGACAGGTGCAGGCCCCGGAGACAGGTGCTCACCTGCTTCCGGGAGGGTGGGGAGTGAGGGGCCACAGGAGGGCTGTGATCAGGAAGCTGAAAGTGTAGGGAGCCAACCCAAGCTACACTGACCCAGTCACTCTGCGGCCTGAAGCAGACTCCACAAACAGCAAGCTGTGCTGTGGGTACTAATCAGGATGCGAGTAACCAATTCACAGGCGTGCAGGGAGTGCGGCTGCCAGGGAGTGCCCCGTGCACGCAGGGTGACCCGCAGTCACTGGGGCCCCGGTGTCATTCCGAGCCCAAAGGATAAAAGCCCAAGGGATGTGACTCCCTGAGCCATCTGCACCTGGGCAGATCTCACTCAGAGGGGCAGCTGTAAGGACCCAGGTTTGTCTTTCCATCTCTTCCTGGGGCAAAGCTGCCGGGGGGCACCAGCAGCTGGGCCAAGGCTGAGTCAGCGACTCTGCAGCACCTCCCGCCTGATGCCTGACGGTGACCCAGGCCTCTGTTCATTGTTTCCAGCCCGGGGAAACAGTGGGGTGGAGATGGGGCTGATAAGAAGCTCATACTCCGTCCTGGGTAAAAGCCCCAGCCTGCTCCCCACCCAGGCTTTTCCCATCTTCCTCCTACTCTTTCACGTTTGGGGTCTGACTCACTTTCCACCTGGTTCTGGGGACGGAGCTGTGAGCTCCTGAGAGTGCAGTGGGGGTGGGGTGGCCTTGAGAGGTCATGCCATTTACCTCAGCCATCCCTCTGCCACGGGGCAGAATAGTGCATAAACCGGCCCAGCCACTAGGAGCACATGTGTATCTGTGTTTGACCGTTCCAGAAGATTAAGGTCAATCTGATTTCAGCTGTACAGGGCAGCGGCTCGAGGCAAGTGAGGGTGGGCGGAAAAGGATACATTTGTTGGGGCATCTGGGAGTGGTAACTGGACTATGTTGGGGGACACTGTCAGTGGCAACTGCACGAAGCCTGGGTTCAGAAGTCCTGGCTCGAGTCCTGGCCTAGCACTGGCGATTTCTCTGTGCCTCAGTTCCCTCACGTGCAAACTAAAGTTGGTAACGTCTTTACCTCCAAGACCATAATTGTGAGATTTTCTTGGCTCATCCTGGTGAGCTTGTGGATGTGGGGCTTAGCAGGATAAGGACACCTCTTCCATCCCTCTGGATGGACATCAGTATTGCTGACCCCTTCCCCATCTGGAGAAACTGAGGCTCAGAACAAAAGGACATTTCCGAGATCCCAGGCTGGGCTTTGGCACCCCCTGTCCACACACCTAGCCCCAGGTAATCCAGCAACTAAGCCAGTGGTGGGCTGCTGAGTGGTGGTCCACGTGTGGCCATCTCTGGTCCACCAGAGCTGTGGTCTTGGCCTCACTCTGAGGCGACTGCTGAAGAGATGCAGGGCTTCACAACCTGTGGAGCGGTCACATGCAAGCCCCACTCCCACCCTCTTACCCTGACGGAGCTCCGCATGGGGCCCAGGTCATGGTTGTAAGCTTCCACTATCAGCACGTGGGATGAGTTCCGCTCTCGGTCCAGGGGCCGGGGCCCTCGCATCAGGAGCCCGTTGCTGACGTGGATCCGGAAGTTGTTGCCATGGTTACCTGTGTTGGGACAGAGGAGATGCATGGGCTCTGGCGTGGAGCAGGACACAGGTGCTCATAGCATAGTGGTGGGGGAAATGCGGGGCCCAGAACCCCAGAATGCTGACCCTGCACAGAGCTCTTGGGAGCCTGGACGAAGCCCACAGTGGCAAGAAGGCCCCAGCCTCCTGCTGCCCTGGTCTGGCAGGACTTGAGGGAGAGGGCAGGAACCTATCTTGTACCTTCCTTATGGGAAGTTTGGGGGACCCTGAGGCCCCCATAAGATGCGTCAGGGGATTCGAATGCTCAGAAGGATCTGGAACCATACAAAAAGAGACACCAAAACCAAATTCTCTGTGGGTCATTGAAGTGAGGATTTTGTGTGTATCTTTGGGCTCATCAGGTACCCATTCCCCCATCCTAGGGTAAGAGCACCCCAGTTCTCCTCTGGGGACCCACCCTCCTCCACTATCAGTCCACGAGCTTTGCGTAGGGGCGATTTTACCCCCGATTCCAAGAGCGGGCAGATCACCACATCTCTGGCCAATCGTGACTGGGTCAGGGATGGTCACATGATTCTAGCTGGGCCAACGAGACTCCTGGCCAGCTTGCTGAGGGCACCGTCCCAGTGTCTAAGGCCACAGGTGCAGGGATGGGTGCGTGACAGATGTTGGGTCAATGACAATGTCTGAGGGGCTCACTGCTGGGGGCCGCCCTACCCCAAGGTCCCCTCTGTCAGGGTGATAGCCCACAGGAGGCACTTCAGGAGCAGAACAATCAAACGCAGCGCACTCACTTAAAAGACACCCAACTTGGTGCGAGTGATCCGAGAATGTCCGTTTCCCCCCTCTGCCCGCCCCCATGTATGGCCATTAGGGCTTCTTTGGTCTCACTTCCCAGACTCCTGGCAGCCTAGGAAAGCTTTGCCCTCCTAAAGGAGGGAGGGCAACACACTCACCATGAAGGATGCGGTACCACACGCGCCCAAACTCGCCCTCATCTGCATCTGTGGCTTTGAGCTGAAGGAGAATGAGACATGTGGTCATTTCCTGAGCCACCCCATGGGGAGGGAAGACATTTGCGAAACCCCTCTCCTGCCCTCCACACCACCCCCAGCCCACCCTGGACAGCCTGTGGCTTCCCACAGAAGCTGGGGGAATGTCTGAGAAGGACACATCTGTCTCTCCCCCCACGAGGATGAGCAGATGGCTCTCTGCTGCCCTGTCGTGGCAGAGGACCTGTTGGCTCTGCTCCTTGGTCCAACACCAGGGTTGGGGGCAAGTTGGGGAGAGGGTGGATGATGGCACAGTAGCTCTCTGGGCCCAGGCTTGCCTAGGATGGCCCCCAGGTGCCGGCTCTCCGCCTTCCGCCTTGAGATCCCAGGAGCCTCATTGAGGTGGGGGGGCAGGTGCTGGATGTACGGCTGCGTCTCACCCACATCTTTCCTGGTTGGAAGCCATTCTGGCCACTGTGCACTGTAACAGCCACTTTGTGGAAACCCAGAAATGCGACCTCCCTCCAGGTGACTTTGTACTCAATCACCCGTGCGTTTGCTCCGGTCTGAGGCTCATGCACAGTCTCCGGTGGGACCTGGGGCGTGCTGCTCTCACTCAGAGACCCCACCCAGTGTCTGTCCATTTTCACAGAGAATCCGGCCTCGAGGCTGTTGGCAGAGTCACCGCCAGCCCCAAGGCAAGTCCTGTTGGACCAAAACCTGAACCCCTACTCTACCTGCTATACCTCTGAAGCAAGTAGAGAGACTGCTCCCCTGCAAGGTGACCCAGGAAGAGGCCCGATGGCATGGCCGGGAAGACTCGGGCCTTGGGATGTTGTCTTGAGCTTGCTCTGTGGTGCCCGGGACCTCTCACTTCTGGATCTGCCCTCTTCTCCCCACCTCTCACCGCAGCCCTGAGGCTGCCATGCCCTTACTGACCATGGCCGATGGTGACTGGTCTGTGAGGGGGCACCTCATCAAAACTGGGTTAGTCTCATCCTTCACTGAGATTTGGGACCTTGGGCCCAAAGAAGGAGCAAGTCCATCTTCCTACTGGTGAGAAGTGGGAGTGTCTGAGCTCATTTTCCACTTACTCCCTCCTCACCGCTCTGCCCCAGCCACACTGATCTCCTTGCTAGTCCTTGAATGCCAAGTGCATGCTGTTTCCTCCACAGGCCACTCTCCCTCCAGATTTTTGTTATGCTCGTGCTCTCACCTCTTCCAGGTCTCTGCTCAAATGTCATCTGCTCAGCCAGCTTTCCCTGACCGCTGTAGGTGGAACTGCAGCCCCCTGCTCTAACACCCAGGCTGTCCCCACCCCCATCAGCTTCTGATAGACTATGTCCTTGCTTATTGTCTCTAGTCCCCCAGAGAGAGGGAGCTTTGTCCACTGCTGTATCCTCAGTCTCTAGAACAACGGCCCTGGGAGCCTGGGGGGGTCCTTGATGGGGAAGCTGCTCAAGACTTAGGTTCCTTCACAGGCAGCTGGCTGCTGGGAGGTTCTGGCTTCCCGGAAGAAAGAAGGCTGGGGAAGGGCGTGTGTGTGTGTGTGTGCGCGCGTGTGTGTGTGTGCGCGCGCGTGTATGTGTGTGGTGTGTGTTGTGTGGGTGGTGCGGGAGAGCTAGAGAGCCACCGCCTGCAGCATCTCCAAGAGCCCACTCAAACTGTAAGGAACATAGCCATGGCTGGCCCTTGATTCTGTGCTTTCTGCCCTAAGATCTCTTTGACCTTTGAAACCATCTCTCACCGCCCCCTCCCGATTGCGGCCAGACACCTTCAAAGGGCAGGTGCTCTTTCTGGGAAGCTGAGTGGTAAGCCTGGGAGGTGAGGGGTGCAGGGGCACAGGAGGGGAGGAGGGGCCAGGAGCTGCCAGGGCCTATCACCCCGCCCGCAGCCCCTCTCCCCTCTCCCGGGTAACCTGGAGGCTGGCAGGCACTGAATAGCAACCCCGCTGGCTGCCGACCATACCATTCGAACACCCGATGGGGGAAGGTGAGAGTCTCTGCGGAGGCAGGGAAACCCTGCCCGCGTCTCCCCCAGGCCTCCGCCCTGCCCGCTAAGAGGGCTCCAAGGAGACAGGCTGGTGTGAGGCCCCGGGAGGGCTTGGGGAGCAACTGGGCTCCTCTGCATGGCTCCCCTCTCCCACTGCCCAGCCCAGTTGCCATCCCTACCCTCTTGGCTGTCCCCTCCCCCAAGGCAGGACCCAAACTCTTCCAGACAAAGCCAGGGCTAGCTGGAGAGTGAGTGAAGACAGCCCGCTCTGCCCAGCCTGGCTGACTGAGGGGCACAGGGCACGGCAGAGTCCAGGGGAGGCTGGTGGTCACGGGTGGCACCTGGTGCTCCTTGGGCATCCCTTGGACAGCTGAGAACACCTTTCTACCCAGCTTGGGACGACTGAGCGCTGGCTCTGAGGTCAGTGTTGGGGGAGTGGGGGGGAAGGTGCAGGAGAAGGTGTGGTGAGGAAAGAGGGGCCAGACCCTCGCTGGGGACTCTGGGGGAGGGTGTGAGGGTATGCACAGACCTGGGGCGTCCTTCTGCTTTCTGCAGAGTGGAAACAATGCCCAGTGAAGGACAGTGACTGGCCCAAGGCCACACAGCAAGACATAGTCTGCGGTTAGTTTCTCTGCTCCAGCAGGTGCTGCTCTATGGACCTCCAAGGGACAAAAAGGTGGCTCTAGATTGAGCTTGCGATCTGTCTAAAGCAGGGGGCTGCCAGAGTGTGTTGGGCTTGCGGGTAGGAAGAAGCTTCAACTGCTCTTGAGATTATGCCTAGCCTGGGTCTGCTGGAGGCCTCTTTTCCCTGCAAGCAGCTGACCCTCGGGGGATTGGAGGGGCTGTGAAAGGATCTGGGAGCTGTATGTTCCAGGGATGGTGGCTGGATGCTTTCAAGCACTTTAGAGTCTCTTGCTTCCCAGAAAACTACTAAGATGCTTATTGCAGCCTCACTTGCCTTTTTATTAAAGTGTTTCCCCCAAGGACTGAAGCCTGGGCCAGCTTTGCTGGCCTCATAGAGTCTCCAGATTCATGTGACAGTCTTGAAATACTATGAGGACCAGCAGGATTGAGATTTCTCTCACTTCAGACTGCCCTGGGTAGGACAGGGGGCCAGTTTTCTCAGTTTTGTCCCTGTGGGAGATGGTGGTGGGAACACCCCATCCCTTTTCCATGCTCATATTCAAGGAAGGATCAACCACATGCGGCTGCCCAGCCCGAGTGCTTTCTAGGCCCAATGCCTGAAAGGCAGAGGCCCTGGGCAGCTAGACGGGCATCAAAGTTTCCAGCTGAGAGCTGGGAGGGGTCGTGTTCTGTCTGGAAATGTGGGAAGGAGTGGTAGCAGGGAATGGGTGGGAGCTGGGGTGTGCTGGATGCCCTCAGTCGGCTAGGCGCAGGGTGAGGCTGCGAGCAGGAAGGAGGCTGGGCGCTGGGAGCCAGGAGTTAGGTCCTGCCACTGTTGGTGAGTGTCCCGGGTAGGGATGGGGGCTCCGGAGGGTGGGGGCGGGGGGGGTCCTCTCCACTCCCCACCGCCTGCTGACACAGATTCTCGGCAGCCCACATACAGAGCCTTGGCACCAGCCTGCGGAGCGTCATGCTAGAAACTCAACCGTAAGTTTGTGCTAAGCTGCGAGCTGGGAGAAGGGGGCAAACCTGCTATCCGCATCGCACGAAAGTCTCCAAGGTCAAAGAGAAATAAATGATCACCTTTTATCAGGCCTTCTTTTGGACTTCCTGTCCTGCGTTCATAGAAATCAAAGATCATCAATACTGGCCTGCGAGCGGGCGGTGGCCTGCTTGCATGTTTGGTTTGGCCTGTTATAATGTTTTAAATATTTGAAAATTCATTGCACATTTTTTTTGGAGTCAAGTTTGTTTAGCTTTTGCAGCATATCCCCCCGCCCTCCCGCCCCTCTCCTGATTTAACTAAATTTGAATTAGTTGCCAACATTTAAACGTCAGGAACGTTTGCCTGAAAAATCCAGATTTCTGACTTCTCTTGGGAAACTGGGAAGAGCCGGCCACACGGGGCCTGCATTCCATCAGCCTGGCCGAGGCACCCCCGCCTGCTTGAGGGCCTCTCCACCAGGCCTCTGGGGTCACGTGTTCCCTACTGGCCATGAGCTCTAAGTATTTTTATTTGCAACCCCAGACATATTCAACTAGAAGCTCCGACTGTTCTTCCGTCTACAAAGATTATTTGCTGCGGTCTCGTTAGCAGGGTGGCCATGAGGGATAACGGGTACCTGGGGTCTGGGAGGCGTTTTTGAGCCCCACCCCTTGTCAACTGTGTAGCTTTTTGTAGGTTGCTTCTCATCTGTTCTCAGAGCTGCTCAGTGATCTCAGAGGACTGGGAGCCTCAGGACCAGGAGTCAGGGAACCTAGTTCTGGCCTTTGCTTGGCCACTGGCTCAAAGTATGGCCTTGGGCTGGCCTTCCCTTGGTGGGGCCTCAGTTCCTTTCTTGTCATGGGAGCAGGTTGGGTCACATTGGGAAGCACCAACAGGAATGCCCATGGGGTGAGGCAGGTGGGATAAGGTGTGTAGTGGGCCTGTGGGGGAGTGTAGGCACCTGGGGGCCAAGACCTCTAAGGGAGGACAAAGGCTTCTCGGCCTCAGCTACTGAGTGCCAGGCAGTAACTGGTTGCCAGGGTTGCCAGTGTTGAAATTCTGGAATTTCAAGAGGAGCCAGATATTCAGATGCCCATGTGAAATCCCTTTGTTTTTGGTTTGTGACTTTAAAAATATTCGTAATTAATTGACACTTACAAAAACACTATAGGGACCCAATGAAACATGCCTGTGGGCCCCAACATTCCATCAGCCTGGCCGAGGCACCCCTGCCTGCTTGAGGGCCTCTCCACCAGGCCTCTGGGGTCACATGCTCCCTACTGGCCATGAGCTCTAAGTATTTTTATTTGCTCTCCGTGTGGCTGCAGCCCCAACATTAGATAATTGCTAGGGCCCTTGCTAGCAATTGATGACTTGTTCCTGGGCACAGAGCAAGCACTTGAAGGAGTGGTTCTTACATCCAGATTTTCAGGGGTAAGACTACTGTAATTCACGAGAGTTGGTTTTAAAATGCCAGAAGGCATCACCCTGTTGTCTCCTCTGTAGGAGGTGGGCAGGGGATAGAGCAGAAAGGGAGCCTGAGTTCAGGCCCCGCTCTATCATTTTCTGCTGTGTGACCTGAGACTCTCTGATCCTCACTGTTCTAACCTGTGACATGGCTATGATGCTGTCTGCAGCTAGTTTAGCAGCCCCCAGCCCCCATCAATGTTCCCCTTCCTATTGCAGGAGCCATGAGCACACGGGGTCCCAGCCCCCTGGCCTTCCTCACAGCCCCCGTCACTCCTGGCAGCACCACCGAGGCAGCTGACCCCCTCCCTGTGCTCGTCGCCCTGGCCTGCATCTTCCTCCTGCTGGCCAGCTGTCTGCTGTTCATGACCCTCTGCAAACCGGCCGCGCTGGACCCGAGCCGCCGGCGGGCTCAGGAGTGCATGCCCCACCACCCTGGGAGCCCCAGCGAGCCCCAGCTCAGGCTCTGGAAGCGCCTGGGCTCTCTGCGCCGCTCCCTACACAGTTTCCGTCGAGGCAGGCCTGCTCCCAGACGCCCCCTGCCGGGCTGCGATGACAACCTCGACTGTGACTGCACGGAATCTACCAAAATGTGATGGATGGGCTGTTCCCGCTTCCCAGGACCCACCCAAGGATCCTCCCGCCGGTGACACAGCCTGGAACCCGGGACTGCAGAAGGACCTGGGCCACACGCTCAGCCCCCGTGGTCCCAGGCCTGTGGCCTTTCCCAGAGACAGACCCTGGAGGAATGTATTCCTCTCTGCAGACCCTCCAGGTGCTGCCTGCTAAAAGACTGCTGGGCCAATGCGCGGCCCTAACACTTGGCCCCAGGCTTCAGAGGGCACAACCTGGGACCCCCCCCCCCCCAACTCTTCTCTGGCAACCAGGCACCAACGACCTCCAGGGAGCAGTGACCCTGCTTCCCAACAGAAGTCTTGCCCACCCTTCAGGTGCCACAGCCCAGCATGGATTCCAGTCTGAGTTGCTCAATGGCCAAAGGTTCCCTCCAGCCAAGTGAAATACTCGGCCCACACGTAGGGCAAGGAACTATCTTGCCCTCTGTGCCAACCCAGTGCCAGAGGCAGGAGGAAAGCAAGGGGCTTCTCTCCTTGAAATCGTGGGACCTAGCAGCATTTACCTAATAATCCCTGGGAGCAGCCGGCACCCTTGTGGGTCAGATGCCCGCGTGCCTGCTGGGAGGAGGGCAAGCAGGAGGTTCTCGACACTGCCTAGCCAGTCACCATCCTGGCAGCCATCTTGGTGGCTCCCCTTCAAGGCACCCATGTCACAATGAACCAGGAAAGGGGCCGAGAAAGGGTTAAGGAGCCCGTTGCGAGGCCAGAACCTGTGCTGTGTCAAAGTGGCGGGAAGCATTGCCAGAAGCTAGAGGTGATGCCACCTGGGCTCTGAGGACACATCATCGTGCTCCTGCCTCGCCCAGGGTGGGGGGCATCCTCCTATTCCGGTAGGAGAGTCCAGACCTCCCCAGGACAGCTGTGGGACCTCAGGTCTAGACCACACTAGGCATGCTACCTGAGTTCCTGGCAATTGTGTCATTGACTGGCTACCCATCAAAGCAATCCTACCCTAGAGTGGGCTTCTCAGAAGTCCAACCCCCCCAAAGTCTCCCCACAGGGCCGTGGCCATGCACTCTAGGTCCTAAATACGGAGTGTGGACAGAGGGGGTCTGAGCTGCCTAGTTCCTGCCACCTGTGGCCTGCTACAGGGCTGCCCCCGCCCACCTTGCTGACTCCCAGTGCAGCCAGCCAGGTCTTCTCAAAAAGTGAGCTCCAGTTTTGCCACTCCCCCGCTCCCAACCATCTCTGGTTCCCAAATGCTGGCTAGATAAAGCCAGGGCTTCTTCGTTGTCTGGGAGCTGGCTTCAAACTCTCTCTCTAGCCTCATCTCGACCCAAGACTCCAGACAAACTGAACCACCTGTCCCCAGGCTGTGGCTTACGCTTCCTAAGGCACCCCCTCCGGGAAGCCCTCTTGGCTCTCCAGCTGAAAGCCACCTCCTGCCTGGAGCCACTCCTGCTCTTTACATCTCTCAGAGAAAGGAGAGCGAGATCACATCCAACCCTGCACACTGCTTCACCGGCTCCTACAGAAGTAGGATGCCTCTGTCTCCTGAGTGAAGGATGGCCTCGTCTGGCTGTGTCCCCACCTCCCAAAGTTTAAGGAGTCCTGGTGGGGGTGGTGGGGGCACCATCCTCCTCTCTCACATGCCCTAAGACAGAAGCTTTCTGTCCAAGCATGTTGGTGAGGCCCACTGTACCTTCCCTCCAGGTCAATCTGACATCCAAGAATGAGGCCACCTTGGCCAGAAACTTCCAGGGCTTGGAGAAGTCACTAAGGCCCACATTTCTCTTTGAGAAATGGGGAGAATCAGGGCCGCCCTGTATGACTCACAGGCTCTAGGATTTCAGGCTGTGCGGGGTTGTGTAAATAGAAACCGATTCTTCAGGTTTAGAAAGTGGGGCAGGGCTCCTCCCACAGGGGCTTGTTCCCCCCTCCCTTCCAGCTTGCGAACCTCTTCCTGGCTCCCTTCCCAGGGCCTCCCTGAGACTTCTCAGCATGCACTCGGCCTACAGCCACAGGTGTCACCCCCAGGCCAGTGTCCTGCTTGGTCTTGGGTGTTCCCTTCCTGGAGACTAGGGGTGGGGGTGAGGCTGCCCTGAGGCCTGAGAAGGAATAGCTGGGGATGGAGAGGCAGGGGGGCCCTTCAAAGCTCTGGCCACACCTTCAGGCACGTCCCCAGTTTGGTCCTGGGAGACCATCAGTGAGTGGGGTGGCAGGTATGAGGCTAGAGGGAAGCTGAGGCCCAGAGGAGGAGAGCCTCCCCGTTCCTCCTTCTGGAACCACCCCCGGGCTCTTGCACATCCCTGGGGCTTCCTCGACTCTCCATTCCTCTAGGAGTCAGCCACCCAGCTCCCAGCCCATTTCCTGCCTTCCTCCCAGCCCCACAGACGCCATGCGGGAGGTGGGTACACTTCCAGCCCTTCCCGACCCTGGGAGTCTGCCCTGGCGGACAGGCCCAGATTTGCTGTGTTTGGCTCAGCCTCGCAGTTGGAACCCCCAACGCTGGCAAAGAGGGTAATTCATTCCCGGCCTCCCACCCCATCCAGCGACGGAGGCCTCCAGGGTGAGGTGGGGGAGGGTGCCCTGAACCTCATTTTTCAGGTCCTCTCCTTTCTCCCTCTGAACCTCAGAGCCATCCTGCTCCCCGGGCAAAGGAACTCTTTCTTCTTGTGCCTGTTCACTTCCCAAGAGGGGAGCTTTGGCCAAGGGCCCGTGAAAGCCGCTCTGTTCTGAGCCTCGCTGGGCCCTGGCTCTTTCCGCTCACCTCCTTTTTGGGGGAGGAAAATGTGACAACTCCAGCCACTTGAGGCTCTGAAAAGCCCTCTGGGTAGGGCGGGGGAGGCGGAGAGGGCTGTAGGGGAAGGGAGAGAGGCAAGGCCTTCCTTCTGTTCTGCGGGGAGCCAGGGTGCTATCTCAGGCCACAGGAACTAAAGGCCTACTATCCCCAGGAGGGAAGAGGGCGCCTGGGTCCCTCTTTCCCCACTGCCCACTGGCTACTTCCGGAGCAGTAGCAGGCCCCTCTCCTGTTTCTCTCCCTCCATGTGGCAGACATGCCTGCCCCCGGCCCCCCAACGGCTCCGAGGCACCACGGCCACCTGCCTGCACGATGCTGTGTCCCTCAGGGATGTCCTCTGGGACGCTGGCCTCGTAGCTGCTCTGCAGAAAGATGGGCCGGTTGTCATTCACGTCCAGGACGGTGACAAACACGGTGGCCGTCCCTGTGCGCCGCTTCCCTACGGGGCCGTTGTCTGTGGGAGTTGAAGGAAGACAGGCTGTGAGTAGCTGCCTGAGGCACACATTCCCTGGACACGCGTCCTGTTCATCCCACCCACGTTGGCCTTCGCCAGGGGTGGGTTTTTCTTCCTTTCTTAGATTAAGAATAACACTAACAATATCTAATGTGTCCCAGGCGCTATTCTAACTCATTCAGCCCTCAGGAGCAGCATGTGAAGTAGGTGCTATTATTATTATTATACCCATTTTACAGAGGAGGTGGAGGCGTGGAGTATTTCAGCGGTGGCCCTCGGAAGACCAACCCGTGTCAGATCCCTGGGAACTTGGGAATGTCAACTTATTAGGAAACAGTGTCTTTGAAGATATAATTAAGAATCTTGAGATGAGGTCCCCTGGACTGCGGGGTGGGCCACAGGTCCGATGACAAAGGTTCTCAAAAGAAAAAGGCAGAGAAAGGCTTGAAGCAGGGAGAAGGCCGGGTCAAGTCAGAGGCAGAGATGGGAGTTTTGCAGCCACAAACCAAGGAATATTTAGAGCCACCAGAAACTGCTAGAGTTAAAGGAGTCCCCTCTAGAGCCTTCGGAAGGGAATGCAGGCCTGCTGACACCTGAAGTTTGAACTTCTGGCCTCCAGCGACATGAGAAAATAAATCTCTACTCTTTTAAGCTACTTGGTTTGTCGTAATTTGTTACAGCAGCCCTCGGGGACAGACCCAGGGACTGAGCTCACGCGCCAGCTGCTGTCGGGGCCAGGTGGGCGAGAGCCACGGGCACACACGTGGGAGGGAGGACCCCGATGGGCAGCTCTTCTCCGTGCCGGTCCATAGGGGACAGGCAGAATGTGGGCCCGGTGACACAAGATCCTCTCCAGAGAAACGCAACATCTGAGCTTTTAAAGAAAATCTGATTTTTAAATGTTCACAACTAACCGTCATCCTGTGTGAAGCAAGAGATGGGTCATGCATGCCTACAGGATTTGGCCTCTGGACCCTCTGCATTCAGGGGTACAAGCCCTGCTCGATTTCTGAGCCTGAGGTATTCAGGGGCCCTGCCCGCTCAGTTCCCTGCAGGACCCTCCCAGGGCTGGGGAAGCAGCTTGGCCCACGGACAGCTGTCTTGTTGCTGTCCCCAGAGGAAGGAACTTGCGCCTCATGCTGTATGTTGAGGTAAGGGTAGTCGCTCTAGGGCGGGGTATAGGCAGCTGGAACTGGCTAAGGCCCAGGGGTGACTCAGTCCTTTTTCCCAAGGCCCACTGGCCACATGCCAGGGCACAACTGTCCAACCCAGGGTAGGTGGTCTTGCTCTTTGGAGTTCCTCTCCAGGCCCAGTCCCCCGCTGCCCTGGACGTGCTGATTACCTGGCCCAGCTGGACACAGTAAGAGCTTCCAGGCCCCATCAAAGGCCTGACCCTGAGCCCTCTCCTCCTGCCAGATGCAGGAGCATTGAGGGGTCTCCCAAGGGGGTAGGGAGAGCATGCCAGGGGGCAGACACATCTGGGCGTGGGTAGGCTGGGGAGGGGCACAGAATGCTCACCCTCTCTCACCCACAGCTTACTGCAGATTTGGACTGGATGCTCCTGGGAGGCTGCAGGGTACTTGGGTGGTGGGGGGAGGGGCAGGCACAGGCCTCATCACAGCCTTCTTCCCATCTAGAGCCTCATGAGCTCCCTACTACCTGGAGACCAAAGGTCAAATTTCTGGCCCAACGTTAAAGCCTCTATAAGCTGGCCCTATGTGACTGTAGCCTCCCTCTCCCCCGTGTACATCCCACCATAAGCCAGCTGCCACTACACACACACACACACACACACACACACAAACACACAGCTCTTTTCTACAACCAGGCCTCTGCCTGAGCCAGTTCCTCTGCCTCAAATGCCCTCCCTGCTTCTTGATTACTGAAACTCGACTTGGCCTTCAAGGTGATGATCACTCAGCCTTCACAGTGTCTGCCCAGCTGCACCAGGCTGCCCTCGCAGTCAAGTCTATATCTTAAGGGTCCCTCTGAAAACCCCACCTTCCTGACTGTGAGGCCTGCAGTTCTAGGCACCAGGGAGGGACACATGATTTAGGCCTAACGGGCACCTCTCTCCTCCCTTGGCCATGAGGGGTTCAGGGACAGGCACTGGGGCAGATGGGACTAACCAGGCTTCAGCTGGGGGAGGGGGAGACTAGGGAAGAGACGAGTGCTATCTCCCTGATGTAGCACTTGAACCCGAAAGGACTGAGGCCAGATTTGCGGCCACAGTTGCTCACCACACAAGCCAGACAACGCCCGGGAGGCAGAGTTAGCCGGTGCAGAGAGACTGAAGCCTGGTGGCATTGCCTGAGCCCCAAATCGTCACACTTGAAGCTCCATCATCCTAGGGGCTGGTTTTGTGAGCCCATACAACCAGTTAGTTTATTTTAAAACTTGCAGCCAAGACGTCAATCCAAAGATACTTCCTCTAAGAAGACATCCCTGATCACACCCTTCCCCACACATGCTTCTACCTCCCTTTGCGCCTGATACTCTTGGCTCCTCCCTTCCCCCTTCCAGCTTCCTCTGGCCTGGTTTTGCAGGGATTTGTCCACACAGTGGTCTCCCACTTGGCTCCCCTGTGGCTCCCATCCCACCAGCCAAGTGTCTTGCACTCAGCACCGTGAGCTAAGCTTCATGGCCGCCAGTGCTCAGTAACAGGCTGTCTGGCTGGCTGCCCTTTTCCCACCCGTGCCAAGACAAGGACTTCAGCTCAAGGCCTGGCTCCTGGGGTCCGGCCCGCCTGGCTCTGGAAGGGCGCCGCGTTGAACTGTGCCCAGGACCGTGCCGGCGGTGCGCAGGTAGGGCCGGTGCGTACCGATGGCCTCCAGGACGAGTGTGTAAGCGGCTGCAGTCTCCCGGTCCAGGCTTACTACTGTTCTTACCACGGCATCGCGGTAGCCCACGCTGAACTTCCCGTCCACATTTCCACCTGCAGGCCAAAGACAACAGGGCCTCTGTCAGGGAAAGGGCGGTGGCACCTCAGCTCTGCCTCAGAGCCAGAACATTCCAGGGGTAGCCTGGGAGGAGAAGGCCATGCTTCCTATTGAGCCCTGTCTGAGAACAGGGTTCTAAATGGCGGGGGTGGGGCGGGGGCTTGGGTTCTGAGGAGGGTGTGGCTTGTGTGGGCTCAGGCAGGGGTGCCAAATGCCTGAAAACATAAAGGTTGAATATTCATTGAGTATCTACTGCATACCTGGGACTTCATGTGGACTATTTCATTACATTGTACTGTCACAAGCCCGTGTTGCCCGGGGTTACGGTCACCTATTTTGGGTGTAAGACTCCAACTTGGCAGTCTGATTCCCGAGCCTGTGGCCTTCACCATTCTGCCACCTGCCTGTCTGGTGGAAGTGTCTGAGCACTTAGCCTGGGTTGAGGCTTTCCTATGTGGCCAGGGACTTTGGGGCCAGCAGAGATTTTTCCAGGTCTCTAATCTTGGACTGAGTGGGGCCTCCCGGAGCCTCCACCGAGTGAAGAGAAGGCGCAGATGGATGGGGTAGGAAGTGTAAGGGTCTCCTCTCCAAGGTGGACAGCAAAGGACTCCCTCCATCTGAACAGTGCGAAGACCCCTCCCCTGGCACCTGGCAGGCACTGCAGTGTTCTGGGCAGCAGAGGGCGCCCTGACACCGAGTTTGGACCAGGACCATGCAAGGCAACTTGCAGAATGAGCAAATTAAAATCTGAGAATCCCACCCAGGAGGGCTCTCAGCAGTTCAGCAGGAACTGGCCACTCTGGGTGCTGGGAAATCATCCTGGGAGCCATTGGGTGCCCCTCGGTCCTTACACGGTTGGCCCCTGAGGAAAACCTGGACATCCTTGTGGATAGTCTGAAGCACCAGTCACATGGGACAAAGTCTGGGTTCTAGGGGGCGGGGGAGAAACTGAGATACAAGTAGTGCTGACTGCTGGTCCCGGGGGCGGGGAGGGTGGAGTCTTGATAACTGAGACTTTTTTTGGAGCAGTTTGGAGGACTAGATTGTGAGGAGCAGTCCTGAGGATGCTAGGTCCCTACAGGGAGGGGCGGGAGAAAATTCTGGAAACGAGAGGCTGCGGGCTGGGAGGTCCCCTCGGCTGCGGCAAGCAAGAATGGGCTGTGAAGTTGTTGCTCTAGGGGCAGAGGCATCAAGGAGACCGATGTGTGTGCTGAATGCATGTACATGCACACGTGCACACGTGAGCTTGTAAGTAATGTGGCTGCAGGCAAGCCATGGACAGAGAGAGGACAGAGCCAGTAAAACAGCCACGGGACAGCTAAGGAACGTGAAAGAACTGCCCCGTGCCATCCCAACCGTCTGGGCCGTGTCAGGGACTGAAGAATGCTGGGTGACCGTTCTAGTCCAGGCATGACTAATACCTGGCATCTTCTCCACCAACCTACCAAGTCTACTTCATGGCAGACCTCACTACTGGATCATGACTCCTTTTCTCCTGTTGAGCTGGGGCACGGCCTCATTCTATTTTTCCATAGCTCTCTGCTTGGTATTTTTGAGCTAAAACCATTTTATTTAGAAAGATCTAAACTATTTGTCTCTAAACAGATGGTAATTCTCATGAATGAAGGATCCTGGTGGTGGGGGGAGGGGGAGGACAAGGCCACAGTCTTCCGGTCTCTGCTTTATCACCTTAAAATGGGGGTGGAGTGGGGGACAGGGCTCCTCCCCAGGAGTCATGGGCTCCACCTCCCTCCAGACTGAACCTCGGTAAGTTCCCCCCATCTCCCCCGTAGTTTCGGGAGGCCCCCAGAGAGCCAGACCAGAGGCACCCAGCTACAGAGCCCTCGGGGAAAACCTCAGGGAGGCTCAGGAAGCGGCGGGCCCCTTCCCCGGTGCCCCCCCCCCCCCCGGCCCTGCCCAGGCGGGTGGCACCTGTGATGAAGTAGCTGAGCTCGGCATTGAGGCCCACGTCGTTGTCAGTGCAGTTCAGCCAGACCACCCGGAACTCCCGAGGCACGTCCTCGGACACTGATACGTTGTACACAGCCGGGAAGAAGGTGGGGGTCTCGTCGTTCACGTCCAGCACTGTGGACACAGCCGGCACGGGGGCTAGGCCTGCCTTCTGCTCGGGGCAGCCGGCTCCTCTAGAGATAGCCCATCTCAGGCCACTCTGACCAGAGCTCCTCAGCCTCCCTCCCACAGCCCTGTGCCCCTGGCAGTTGCTGCTGCGGCTGCCCTCCAAGGCTGCAGAGAAAACCACGGGGCCTCTCTCTAGACGTGCCTCACCACCACAACGCTGATGAGAGCGGCGAGGACGGTGACACCCCAGCTCCTGCCATGTGTCAAGCCTGTGCTAAGTGCTTCCGGTACAGCACCCCAGGGGCCCCTCGTAACACCCGCCTGAGGCAGCCATTGTTAGACACCCCGGAGAGAGGAGGGGACCAGAGCTCAGAGCAGCCAAGTCACTTCTCTCAAGTCACAGAGCAAGAGAGTGGCCGGGTGGGGGTCTTGGGGAGGCGACCCCAGGAAAACAGCTGGCCTTGAGGATTCTCTCTCTCTCAGAAAAGACTTAAAGATTTGTTTTCTCAGCTGATGGGGCTTGGGACGCGCTTCACTGTGACATGAGCCCATGCCCCCACTTTGGCTCCTCTCTGTCACAGCACCAGGAGAAACGATGGGCTCGTTCAAGGACATGGCTTGCTGAGCCCTAGAGAAAAATCCTCTGGGACCGTCACCGAGAGAACTCAGCACCCTCCCTGTCAGTTGCTGGCACAGAAGCGAGTCCCCAAACTGGCACCGGGACCCCGCAAAGCAAGCGTGGGACCAACAGATAAGAGACTGCCTAGTCGCGTCTCAGGCTGTGGCGAAGGAAGGTATTGGCACGGACCCACCCTCCCCACCCGCCACCTGCACCAACCCCCTGGAGGCAGGCGGGAGCCAGGCTGGGAGCAGGGCCTGTGCTAGAAAACAGGCCACGTCTTGCCCGTTACACTCTGTACTTACTTCCCCGGGGTTAGTTCGGGCCCTCTGGCAACAGCTCGTGTCAATGGCCCTGTTTTGTCCCAAGAATGAAAGATATGACCAGAACGGAGGAGAAATGATAACTGGCCATGGCCCTGCCTGGACAGGGGGTGCAGGGCTCCGCAACCCCCCTTCCTGCTGGTGACCCCGAGGGCCCCGACACTGTGCAAGTCCTCTCTGCTCTTTGCTGGGTTCGAAGAGGCTAGGAGTGGGTAGGGGACCCTGGCAGTGGGTCCAGAGCCCTGGGGGGTACAGGGGCCCCAGGGAGGGAGGATGGAGAGAAGACTCTGCTGGAGTTTTTGACTTGGTGGCGATGGGAAGACTCTGTGTTGAATGGCATGGTTGAGGAGGGCGCCTCATTAGCAAGGCATCCTGTGTCCACATGGACGGGGCCAGCAGCGGTGTTCGTGGGCTCCCCACCCTGCCTGGCACTGCCCCAGGGCCCACGGGCTCAACACACAGTAGGAGGCAACCCTCACCTCAGACGCCCCTCACCTCGGATGGCCCTCACCTCAGATGTCCCTTACCTCAGATGGCCCCTCATCTCAGGCGGCCCCTCTCCTCGGATAGCCCTCACCTGGGATGGTCCCTCACCTCAGATGCCCCTCCCCTGGGGTGGCCCCTCACCTCAGGTGGCCCCTCACCTCAGGTGCCCCTCACCTGGGATGGCCCCTCACCTCAGGTGGCCCCTCACCTTGGATGGCTCCTCTCCTCGGATGCCCCTCCCCTGGGATGGCCCCTCACCTCAGGTGGGCCCTCATCTCAGATGCCCCTCCCCTGGGATGGCCCCTCCCCTGGGATGGCCCCTCACCTCAGACGCCCCTCACCTCGGATGGCCCTCATCTCAGACGCCCCTCACCTCGGATGGCCCTCACCTCAGACGCCCCTCACCTCGGATGGTAAGCGTGCTGGTGGAGCTCTTGGTGGGTGTGCCGGCATCAGTGGCCACCACGCGCAGCTGGTACTCGGCAATGCGCTCGCGGTCCAGCTCAGCGGTGGTGACCACCACACCGCTGCTGCTGTTGATGGCGAAGTCCACGCGGGGCATGCCCACCTGCACGCGGTAGGACACCAGCCCGTTCAGGCCCTCGTCCAGGTCGATGGCCACCACCTGAGGGGAAGCGGGGGCCATGTGAGGGGCGGGGACCCGAGGCCTCCTCCCCTGAGAAGTGCCCCCTCCTTCCCGCCGCCCCGTGCTCCGCTGGAGCCAGACACGCCTGCTTCCCCCAGAGCCCCAGGCCGTGCCGCTGCTCCCAGCGCACCTTCCCAGATGCTACGAGGGCAGCGTGGCACAGCTAGGTACCCAGACCCACGGAGCGGGGCCCAGGGTGGGGGGCGGTGGGGACAGCACTTTTAAAACAAGAGTCCAGGTGGCCACAGCCTTCCTCTCCAAAACCCTGTCTCCTCCTTGCGAGGCCCCCAGATGAGCCCTGGCTGGCTTGGGGCCTCCCCATGCCATTGTGTGGCAGCAGGCTTCCTGGCTGCTGGCTGGGCTCCCAGCCCTTCAACCACGGGCTCCTCGACTACGTAAAACAATCAGCAGCACTCTCCCTCCTGCTCCGTTGGACAACAAGATGATAGAAAGGGGCAGTTTTTAAAACTCCCTTCATGACCTATTGTTTTGAAAAAGTCAGTTGGGGTCCTGTGTAGGCAAGCGTCCTCCCCAATCTCCACACTGCTCCCACTTGCACCTCTAGTCCTGGTGAGAGTTTTCCCGACTCAAGACCCTGATCTGCCCAAAGTTTCACAGAAGAGGATTCTTCGAGGAAATGGGAATGATAGTTAAAATAAAAGCTCTGGATTAAGCCAAGACTCTCAAGGTTGAGAGACGACATCAAGGTCATCTGGTCTAACTCGCATCCGACAAGCTGGACAAAAGGGTGTTCAGACTCCACTTGAATGCTTCTCAGGATGGGGGGCTCACTACTTCTCTGCACCCACCCAGCAGAAATCACTTTCGGTCCAGGTTGTAGGGGGGCCTGGGGAACACACGGCTCCAGTCGGAAACTTTTCTGTATCTGAGTACAGTTCCCAAGCTAAGCATTCTGGTTCCTTCAACCATCCTTTCATGCCTGAGCCAGTTCCTCTGTGAACTCAGAAGCTGTGCTGTGCTGTATGTCTGCACCGTGAGCCCCCCCAAGAATGGGCCTTGTTTGTGGCCCTCCTCCAGCCTCCTCTTTAGGGGCTCTTCCTCCTCAGGGACTGGCTGCTGCTCCCTGGATCACAGCTCCCCCTGCTGGGCGTTTGGGAGAATGCCTTGCTGGAGAGATTGCTCCCAGGGACTCCGAGAGAACGCTATTAATCTCCTTTCACAGGTGAAGAAACTGAGGCACAGCAGGCCTACAGGGCATCACCAAAAGTTACCCACGGTGACATCCTGACAAACAATCCCGTGTTCTTCGAGTGGGGTCAGGCTGGCCCTCTGCCGCTGGACCCCGCTGTGTCTCGGGTATAAACCCCCGAAAGACATGTAACGATGAGCACATCAGCCACTGTGTATCTCCGGCAGTCCAAGCGCCAGGCTGCTTCCCATGTGTGTCTGACTGGACACCCGCAGCACAGCCAGGCAGGTATGATTATGGTCCCCATTTCACAGGTGAGAAAACGGAGGCCCAGTGAGGCTGTTTGCTTACAGCACGCAAATGGAGGAGTTGGGGTCTCTTCTCATATTTGTTGTCCTGCAAAGCCCATGCTCTTAACCATGAGGGTTAATTCCTAAAAGGGTATCGTTCTCTCTGAACGAGTGCCTTCAGGGCCTCCTTGCCAACGGGTGATGGAGCAGGAAGCAGAAGGTCAAGATCAGGCCATACCTCTTCTTGGCCACTGGGACATAAGCAGGTCTCTTCCAGCCTCCTGCAAAGTGGGGAGAGCACCCCCACTCTGTGTGTGGAGCTGCTTTGGGGCTATGGGAGAGCATGGGAGAGTGGCCTGCCCATGGAGGCAGGGTGCCTGGGCTACACCCTTCAACCTTCTTTGTATTCTAGAACCAGCTAGAGGCTTGGAGTAGACCTCCATGCTCAGGTCCTGCTTGACTTAGCTTCCCAGAATTCCATTATCTCCCTTGGTACCTTCCCTCTACCTCTCCAAATCCACCTGTCCTTTGAGACCCAGCTCAAGTCCCTCCTCCTCCAGGAAGCCTTCTTTTATGTCTCTCAGAGCACGGGCTCTCCAAGCCTGGCACAGACTGTCCCGTCTGGTGGTCTTGGCTGGCATTCCCTGCCCCTCCCCCCCACCCCCCCACCACTGCAAAGCATTCAGCATGAGGCTAGGCACCCAGGGCACCCTCTGCCTGTTTGTTGGGTGGGTGAGACGAGGTGAGGGAGGCAGATCAGGAGCTCAGGCCAGGAAAGGGAAACTTACCTGGTAGACAGAGACCCCCGCCGGGGTGCCTTCCAGTACCTCAGCCACGAAAGGCAAATTCTGGAATGTGGGGTCATTGTCATTGAGGTCCAAGAGGTTCACAAACACTGTGGCACTGCTGGTGGCTCTCAAAGGGGGCCTGCCACCTGGGGGTGCCAGGGAGAGGGAAGGAGGGGTGCGAAAGAGAAAGGGAGAATGGGGAGTGGGGAGAAGCAGGCAGGCTCAGTGACTCTTGGTCCCAGCGGTCCCTCAGGGAGCAGCCTGGCCCCGCACCCTCAGCTGCCTCCACACCCCCGCCCCCACGAGGGTACTTCGGGGCTCACAGCCGGCAAGTGTGTGTTCCTCTGTTATAGTGATGACACAGCCCTCCTGTACACAGGCCTCAGGACCGGTGGAGGACGAGTCACTGGGAGAGGTCCCCAGGGGCCCTGAGAGTCAGAGGCCACAGCCAAGCTGTGTGAGGGTGCAAGGGACACCTACAGTCAGTGACGGAGATGATAATCTTGCGCATCAGCTCCGCCTCGTGGGGGTCGGGGTTCTCCCGATCCAGCATGACGTGGGTGGTGCGGATCTTGCCCGTGCTGCTGTTGAGGCTGTAGAACTTGTTGGGTGGCTGGATGCTGTACACGAGGGTGCCGTTCTCTCCCAGGTCCGGGTCCACGGCCACCACCTGCTCGGGAAGAAACGGGCCATTCGTGGAGCCGAGCCTCCGTCTCTGGGCCCCAGGCTGCCTTCCCTGGGGTGTGTGAGCTCACACCCCTCCCAGGGTGTTCCTCCCTCCCAGCTCCCCGGGGGTTCTGATGGGGAAGGCAGGAGGTCCAGGAGATGGATCAGCAGAAGTCCTGAGTTCTCTGGCTTCTTCACCCCCTCGGGTTTGCCCTTAGGCCAGTCCCTGTCCCCATGGAGGCGCCAGCCTTCTGATTTGTAGAAGCAACACCAGGCATGCATCAGCCGGGCCCTCAGCAAGAGCCACGTCCACAGTGGGAGGAGGGGATCTAGAACTATGTGCCTTCCACAGGCCTCCTGAGGTCTCCCAGTAAGAGGTGGCCCTGGGTCCCTCCGGCGCCTGTGCCAGCAGCCAGTAGGCAGCACTGCCAGCACGTTGGTGTCATTCCTTCCCAGACATGTAGGGCAGCACCTTCATGGGCTTCTGGAGGAGCAGGGGGTTCCCAGCAGGCCATGATCATGGAATTCTTTGGGGACTAGGAGTTCTTTGGAAGGCTGGGAACTTTTCAGAAGCATCTGAGACCCTGGATTTTGGGAACCGAATCCTCCTCATTAAGACTTCTCTTCCTTCCTTCGGACTTTTATTTTTTTTTTTAAAAAATACTTATTTGAGAGAGAGAGAGAGAACACAAGTGTGCATGGGGGAGGGTAAGAGAGAGAGAGAGAGAGAGGGAGAGAAAGAATCCCAAGCAGGCTCCACGCTGTCAGCACAGAACCTGATGTGGGGATTTGATTCCACACACTGAGCAAGTTGAAAAGAATTAGGCTTCTGGGACACCAGGAAAGACAGGGCAGGGGGAGGAGTCATGGATAAGCCACCCTGTTGAGAGGGTGGGTCCCAGTGAGTTGGGGCTGCTGTGGTGGGAGGGGGGGGTGGCGGGGAGGGAAGGAGGAGGCTGGAGTTGAGAGGGGGCTGAGTCTCCCTCCCAAGAAGGGGGAGGGCCCCAGGACAGAGGCCCCTTGACCTCTCCAGCCCCCCCACACTTGGTTCCCCACTTGTAAGCCTGGCCCCACAAAGCGATCGAGCTGAGTGCCTGCTGCACCCAGGGCAACCCCCACAAGCTGTTTTCTCCCTGTCCCCATGCCTGCCAACCTCCTGCTTCTCTAGCATCTACCTCCCTCGAGGGGAAAGCAGAACTCAGAGAGGCATGGCCAAGACTCAAGGTCACACAGCCCCAGCCCTGGGGGTGACCCAGCTCCTACCCTGGAGGCCTCCTAGGGTCCCAAGATAGCAGTGGTCACCACCCCTCAGTCCACCCTCTGCCTTGTGCTGCAGAGGTCACTGTGGTACCAGAAGTGGACAAAATCAACGGGGGGAGGAGTGGTGACCACAGTCCCCAGGGCCGCATCAGGACACTGTCATTCTTAACTCTAAGACACTCAGCGATGACAGCCTAGCCTCGTCAGCTTACTTGATATGGGGCCTTTTGTGCTTTGGCAGCAGAATCTGTCCCATCTCTGGCTTAATCCCCAGCCGGAGGTGTCTCTGGGGCCACCAGACCAGAACAGACGGATGGGCTGCCCTGGCCGCAGGCCCCCATTTTGCCCCTGGGCCAAGGGGCCGTCAGGGAGTGGGGCCAGTGCTAACGCTGAGTCCCAAGCCCTGTGGACCCTCCTTCTGCTAGTGCATTGGATCCCCTCCTGGCCTGGCTGCACCGGGGGCAGGGGGCGGGGAAAGGCCCAGCTTTCCAGGCCTGAGGGGCCCTCGCGTGCTACAGGGCACGTCACCTCAGTCTCCCCAGCCTCGATAAAGGGGGCCCGATCGCCCCTGTGTTGACAATAGGAGGCAGGGCCCTCGGGTACTCTGGGTGTGACTTCCCTCGGCCACTGACAGACAGAGGGGACCAGCAAATCTTCATTTCTACAGCGCTTCTCTCCGGATGAGGACGGAGAGCTTTATCCCCATTCCTCTGGATAGGGAAACTGAGGTACAGAGCAGTTCAACCACTGTTCCAGGTGAGCAGCCTGCTGAACGTGCGGAGATCAGTTTTACTTGGGGTGGGGGCTCCTCGTCTTCTCTCCCTGCCCGGAGAGCCAGAGGTGGCCCCATACTTCTAGCCTCATGGCCCACTCCCTGGTCTTCGGGCCGGGCCGGGGGCACAGGGGAGGGCTGTCGGCTGCGACCCCTCCTGCAGGCTCCCCACTGGTCACTGTGTAGAGTCTCCCCACTTTCCCTCCTCATTTCCCATTCTACGCCGTCATTTTTCTCCTGGCCTGACGGGGAATAATTCTCTCTCCCCTCTCTTATTTGCTGGAGGGCTTTGAAAGGCTCTAAATCAATGCCCATCAGCCAGGTCCTTGAAGGAGCCTGCAGGAGCCAGGAAGGAGGCTGGGCCCCACTCCCACTTGCAAACTGAGAGGGGCTGTGCGGTGGGCTCCCACTGGAGCTGGTGCATGCCCTGAGTGCACAGACGTGCACACAGATGTGCACACAGACACGCACTCCTGGACCACCGCCGGTGGCCAGGATGGAGGCACACAGTTGCCTGCAGAGAGCGCTGAGAAGTCACTGGCCTTTGGGGGAGCTCTGGGCCACACACCCTCAGCTCTCTCTGACCTGGAAGAACTGGGGGGCCAGGTAAAGTGGCAGAGAGAGGGAGACACAGAATCCGAAGTAGGCTCCAGGCTCCAAGCTGTCAGCACAGAGCCTGACACGGGGCTCGAACCCACAAACCCCAAGATCATGACCTGAGCCGAAGGACACTTAACTGACTGAGCCACGCAGGCGCCCTCAGGTTTTGAATTCCTATGATGCACCTGGCACCCTGCGTGCGAGGCACCAGGGTTCAACAGCAAACCTGCTGGGTAGGGGAGGCGTGGTGACGACAGCTATCACTTCCCTGTCCCTCACCATGTGGCTCGTTAAGTACAAACCACGAGTGTATCAGGTGGGGACTCTCACTGTCCCCATTTTCTAGATAAGACCAGTGGAGCACAGAAAGGTAAGATGATTTGTCTAAGGTTACCCAGCTGGTAAGGGATGTGGCTGGGATTAGACCATAGACATTTTGGGACCAGAGGCCGCTCCCTCAATCCCTAAGCTATAAGCTATACCATATCTGAATACGCAAGCAATTTAATAAATAAATGAACACAGATGTGGGATCAGCTCTGGAAGAAACAGAGTAGAGAGGGGGCAGGGCTACTTGAGGCAGGGTGATCAGGGAGGGCCTCTCTGAGGAAGTGGCATTGTAAGCTGTGGAGGAGAAAAGCAGAGGTGAGAGGTAAAGGGAGAGGAATGCTCTGCAGGGCGGGGCGGAAGGCTCTGAGCGGGGGAAGAGTTTGGTGGATTGGGGAGATTGAGAGGCCACTGTGTGGGGTGAGGTGGAAAGAAATGTATCCGGCAGGCAGCCCTTATGCAAACATGGTCTCCTCTCTGATGTCACCTCCGGGTCAGGCGTCCCCTCCCCTCCCCCAGCTCCCTTTCTCATATCTCAGCCACAGCCCTCACCTCACCCACTGTGCAGCCCTCAGGGAGCCCCCAACAGTATTACAGTGTACCCACACATAAATGCCTAGACACCATAAGATTTAACGAAATTTCGTGACTATTCCTTTTGAAATTATTTTGCTATGACAAATTTGACTAACATACGGGCTTCTTGATTTCTGCTTTCCTGGCAACCATCACAGATACCCGGGAATTCCAGAGAATTCTGAAAACTTTCAAGGATTACAGAAAAATCTAACCGACAATTTGTCCTTAAGGGCAATGAATTTTTTTCAGACACTCAATTTCATAATTGCTGAAGCTGTCATTATACAGTTGGTCAGATGTTTGATATAACGAGTTTTTAATTCTGACTTTGCCCTTGTCTGTTTGAACTTCTGAGTCATGACATTTTCTGTGTGTGTGTGTGTGTGTGTGTGTGTGTGTGTGCGGGGGGGGGGGTGTCTCAAACACTAGGAGGGGGCAGTGAAATGCAGGAGTCCCCTGCCCTGCGGGAGGAACAGCCATGCCAAGCCCGTCCTGAGGGCTGGGTTCACAGGTCCACCTCCCAGGGATAAAGGTGGGACAGGTGTGTCCGCTAAGAACCCTGGCTTTTATACAGCATGAGATGGGAACTGGTGGTGGGTTCAAGCAGAGAAGTGACACGAAGCTCCCCAAAAACAGAGGGGAACATTGTTGCTTTCGGTACTTTCAAGGTTGACGGGCACAGGGCCTGGGACAGGGTAGGTGCTCACTGAAGGTCTGCAGAGTTTCCCAGGGACTGAGAAGACACTGGGCAGCAGGCCTGTCCACACTGTTCACAGCTCCAAGGCTGTGAGGAAGGGCAGAGACCTGGACAGCGCCACGGCAGACCAGGTCTAGGAAATGCCCAAGGCCAAGTGCAGTGTCCCAGCCCAGCAGACCTTCTCTTGTCTGGCAGGTGAACTCTTCAAAAATGGCGCCTCTGCAAAGAGGAAGTCAAACTTTCACTCTTCGCAGATGACATGATACTCTACATAGAAAACCCGACAGACTCCACCAGAAGCCTACTAGAACTGATCCAAGAATTCAGCCAAGTTGCAGGGTACAAAATCAACGTACAGAAATCGGTTGCATTTTTATACACCAATAATGAAGTAACAGAAAGAGAAATCAAGAAACTGATCCCATTCACAATTGCACAAAAAACCATAAAATACCTCGGAATAAACCTAACCAAGGATACAAGAGATCTGTATGATGAAAACTATAGAAAGCTTATGAAGGAAATTGAAGAAGACACAAAGAAATGGAAAAACATTCCATGCTCATGGATAGGAAGAATAAATATAGTTAAGATGTCATTACTACCTAAAGCACTCTACACATTCAATGCAATTCCAATCAAAATTGCACCAGCATACTTCTCAAAACTAGAACAAACTATCCAAAAATTTGTATGGAACCACAAAAGACCCCGAATAGCCAAAGTAATACTGAAAAATAAAACCAAAACGGGAGGTATCACCATCCCAGACTTCAGCCTCTACTACAAAGCTGTCATCCTCAAGACAGTATGGTATTGGCACAAAAACAGACCCATAGACCAATGGAACAGAATTGAGAACTCAGAAGTGGACCCAAAAGTATACAGCCAACTGATCTTTGACAAAGCAGGAAAGAATATCCAATGGAAAAAAGACAGCCTTTTTAACAGATGGTGTTGGGAGAACTGGACAGCAACATGCAGAAGAATGAAACTAGATCATTTTCTCACACCATGCACAAAAATCAACTCAAAATGGATAAAGGACCTGAACGTGAGACAGGAAACTATCAACACCCTAGAGGAGAAAGCAGGAAACAGCCTCCTTGACCTCCACCGCAGCAACTTCTTACTTGACACATCCCCAAAAGCAAGGGAATCAAGAGCAAAAATAAACTGTTGGGACCTCATCAAGATTAAAAGCTTCTGCACAGCCAAGGAAACAACCCAGAAAATTAATAGGCAACCAACGGAATGGGAAAAGATAGTTGCAAATGACATATCAGATAAAGGGTTAATATCCAGAATCTATAAGGAACTCACCAAACTACACGCCCGAAAAACAAACAACCCAGTGAAGAAATGGGCAGAAGACATGAACAGACACTTCTCCAAAGAGGACATCCAGATGGCCAACAGACACATGAAACGATGCTCAGCATCCCTCCTCATCAGGGAAATACAAATCAAAACCACACTGAGATACCACCTCACGCCAGTCAGAGTGGCTAAAATGAGCAAATCAGAGAACTCGAGATGCTGGCGAGGATGTGGAGAAACGGGCACCCTCCTACACTGTTGGTGGGAATGTAAACTGGTACAGCCCCTCTGGAAAACAGTGTGGAGGTTCCTCAGGAAACTAACACTAGAACTCCCTTATGACCCAGCAATAGCACTGCTAGGAATTTACCCAAGGGATACAGAAATGCTGACGCATAGGAGCACATGTACCCCAATGTTCATAGCAGCACTCTCCACAATAGCTAAAACATGGAAAGAGCCTAAGTGTCCATCAACAGATGAATGGATCAAGAAAATGTGGTTTATCTATACCATGGAATACTACATGGCAATGAGAAACAATGAAATCTGGCCATGTGTAGCAACATGGATGGACCTTGAGGGTGTTATGCTGAGTGAAATAAGTCAGGCAGAGAAGGACAAATATCATATGTTTGCACGTATAGGAGGATTAGGAGGAACTCGACGGAGGAACAAGGGGGAGAAGAAGGGCGGAAATGGTGGTGGAAAGGGAGAGAGGCAAACCATGAGAGACTCTTGAATGCTGACAAAAACTGAGGACTGATGGATGTGGGGGGGAGGGGGGGATGGGCATGGAGGAGGGCACTTTGGGGATGAGCACTGAGTGTTATGTAGAAACTAATTTGACAATAAACTATTTGTAAAAAAAAAAAAAATAAAATAAAATAAAATAAAATAAAAACAAAAATGGCGCCTCTGGCTGGTGTCCCATGCAGCCACTTTCTCCTAGGGATACTTGTCTCACTTGCCTCCCAATGCCCTCTGGGAAGATTTTCTCAGAAACAAAGCAAAAGTAAGAGTTGATCAGACAGGTGTTTCGAGGTGGGCTCTCTTGGGGTCCTGGGCTGGGAGTGGTCTTGGGCTAGAGCCCAAGTGCCCACGAGATGGCAGCAGAGAGGGCCCACAAGGTCTAGAGTCCTAGAGAGAGCCAAGGAAAGGGTCCAAGGTAGAGGTTCCCAAACCCGGCCTTGGGCTCCAAGCAATCCTCCCACCAGGGCTTTGAAAAACTAGATCCCAGATACCTGATCCAGACACTATTGGAATGTCTGGGAGGGGAATCCAGCCACCAGTTGAGAGCCATTGAGATCTTGAACACATGGAAAGGAAGACAGGAGACTCCCTTCTGGGCTGACATCCTTACCAGTCTAGACCCATCGCTGCTGGCTGTGGCTCATGAGGGGCAGGGGTGGGGAGGCTAAGCCTCAAAAGGGGTTGGGCAGCCTTCCTGGAGAGCTGGACATGACACTTGCGCTCCTTCTCCCATCCCATCCACCTTCTCCAGCTTCTTGGCCCACTGGCCAGGGCACCCTGAGCCAGCAGGGAGGTAGGGCTGGACCAGGTAGTTTCCAAGTCAGATACAGCTGGTTCAAGTTCTGATATAACCTCTTACTAGCTCTGGGACCCTGGGCAGACCCCTCAAACTCCAAGTCTCAGTTTCCTCCATTGTATGACAGGAGCAATGAGTCCACCTGCCCCGTTATGATGAGAGGGAAATCACGAGAAGCCCTCGGGCAGCACCTGGCAGACTGCGGACATTCAACACGCAGGGTTATCATGAACTATCAGGTTCACATTTGTCACAGCTGGCTGAGTGGCCATGGGGCTGGAGACTGGGGTCACACCACCTCAAATGAGGCCAAATGGAACACAAGGTTGAAAGCTTGAGATGGCCTCACAAATGTGAACCCCAGAGCAGGCAAGTGGGGCACGCAACCTTGACTTTTCTCATCTTCCTCAGGAAGTTGGCTCCATTCCGGACTCCTGAGGCTTTAGCCGCGTCTCTCCTACTCCCCACTCTGAGTCACACCCCTGCATGCAGCATGCACAGGGGCCTGGGCAAACCTGGACTACTCCGGGCTAGGAAAATCCCTGGGTGAACTTCAAATGCCTCACTGGGGCAGCCTGGTGTCTGCCTGTGGGGGAGCTGACCAGGGTCATGCTGCAGTGACAGAGCAGTGAAGGAAAGGTGGGGGGCAGAGTCTATGCTATAGGACTTGAGGCGGACGCCTACTCCTCGCCAGGGGAGGGTGGGGCTGAGTTCCAGGGTCTCCGGCAAGTGAGGTCACTAGCTGAACCAGCCCTAGCTGCCTTGTCACTGTCTCTGGGCCGTCTGTGCTCCCTTGACAAAGTCCAAAGTCTCTGAGGACCAGGGGAGGGCTCTCCCCTGACCTCTGGCTACCTTTCACCACGCAAGAGCTTCTGGAAGTCTGCTCCGTGGGCTGGCTCAGAGGGTGGCATGGAGTCTATCAGTCACCCCCAGAGCAGCCCACGGGGCTCACATGGGAACGGCAGACACCCTCAGAAGGGCAGCCCGGTGGCTCGGCCGTCCCACCGCCGCTTACCGTGGTCACATCCGAGTCTGGCGGGGTCATCTCCACCAGGTTGATGTAGTAGGGGGCGTCCTTCCAGGTGGGGTGGTTGTCGTTGATGTCCAAGAGGGTGATGTTCACCTGCAGAGCCACAGGGAGCAGTGGGGGAGGCACCTGGCTGAGCTGTGCAGGGGCAGGGCCCATGAGGGGGGCACACTCAGGTGCCTGTGTGGGCACCTCAGCTTTAATTCCACTAGTTCCACCCATGTTGGGGGTTTTGGGGCAGAGCCTGGGCTTTCAAGGAGGGAAGCAGATCCCTTCAGGAGAGAGCTTAGGCGCGATCCCCTCAGGAAGCAGAGGAATGAATGAAGTGACCCCTGAAATTCTCTCTGTAACCCGGGCCTCCTCTCTCCCGCCCCCGTCTTGGCAGAAGGTGACTGATGGGGTGGGGGGGGGCCCTGGTAGAATCCCCTGAGATTCCGTCAGTCTCAGCCACCAGCCAAGCAATTTCCCTGCTCCCCTGCCACCCATGTAAATTATTTATTTGGCTGAGAATTCTATTAGCAGGGGCCTCCCATGACTGAATGAGGTACTGGGGATTCTGCTGCCCAGTGGATTCTGCTGTCCAGTCGTTGGCCAAGAAATACCGATGCCAGCCTCTCTGGCTGGGCAATGATGGGGGGCAGCTGCGGTGGGTAGGGTGAGGGCCACGCGGAGCAGTCAGGGAGGGCTCCTGAGAGGCAGCCAGAGAAAGCAAGGTGAGGGTCATGGAAGGGAGTGGCTGAGTGGTCAGTGGGTCTCCCTGCTCCCCATCTCTTGTGCAGCCCAGAACTCGGTCAGGAGCCTCAGATGTCCCTTCTCTAGCTTCTTATATCTGAGGCACCTGGGTGGGATGACAAGGCCTTGGATGGGGCCTTTATGGGTCCTGCTTACTCATGGTAGAAACCTAGGCATCATCTCTCAGCACCAAGGTCAGGGCTAGGAGCCCTGCCTCCTGTTCTGAGCCACTCTTTCTGGCTGGAATATGCGCTCCCTGTAGGAGCCCCTAGGGAGGGGCCCACTGAGCTCGTGCTTTCTGCTTCTTGCCCCCACTGGTCTTTGGGGGACATTTGTTCCTCTGGAGTGCCACCACATCTCAGGTGGGATGCCTTTCTTCCCCACAGCTGCAGTGGCCCCAGGGCTGACAGTGCCTTGGTAACTGCCACCCTCACTCCACCCCCATGTGCCTCACGCTGCCTCAGGACACAGGTGAGCCCTGAAGGTGGGCTGGGGAGTGGGCGTCACGGTGGGGGGCGGGCACTCACGGTGGCAATGCCGGTTTTCTGGTTGTGGCCCACGCCCCCATCCACTGCCCGTACGATGAGGATGTATTCAGACTTGGTCTCACGGTCAAGCAGGGAGGTGGTGGTAATTTCACCTGCAGGAGAGAGGGTTTGGGTGGACCCGGGAGGGAGCAGGGAAGGAGGGAGAAGGGGGAGGGAAGGGGAGCCAATCCGTCTGTACAAGCTGACAGCGTGTGGTGTGCACGTGTGTGCACGTGCTAGGCTGTAAGGTGATGCTCATGAAGGGAAAGGGGATGGCACCCTTGCCTTGGGAACCGGAAGCCAGAGGTGGCAACATGACCCTCTGATAAGAAAGTCATTTTCCATGTGGGAAAATCTAGGCTGATTATGGGGTCAGGGGATAGAGAATACGGCAGGTCACAAAAGAGCTCTTTGTTAGATTTTTCACATTATCGTAGCAGTCCTATCACTTGAGACTTGTTACCTAAATCCTTTGTGCCTCAGTTTCCTTATCTGGTCAAAAGGGAAAAGTAATAGGAGCCACCTCATAGGGCTGTTGTGGGATTAATTCGGTTGACATCACGGAAGGCTTAGAAGAGTGCCCGGTGTTGAAATGTATGACGTGTGTCACACATGTTCATGCTGGTGACTCGTTACTGGACAAGTAACCCACAGGGCACTGAGAATAGTTATAAAAGAATTTCCTTCATTACCTTGTAACATGATTATATTGCCTTGAGGTTTTTGTTTTTTTCAATGTATAAGCAAGTTATTCCATGAAATACAAGCAATTATAACTGACCACTGGGGCACCTGGGTGGTTCAGTCGGTTAAGTGTCTGACTCGGTTTTGGCTCAGGTCATGATCTCATGGTTCGTGAGTTCGAGCCCCACATCAGGCTCTCTGTTCCCAGTACAGAGTCTGCTTTGGATCCGCTCTCTCCCTCGCTCCCTTCCCCACTTGTGCTTGCGCTCTATCAAAAATAAATGTTAAAAAAAAATTAAAAAAAAATTGATCATTTACCTGCCTGTTTCTGGCTTTTCTTTGTATAACTAAAACACAGAGGTCACACCTGGGGTGCTGTGGTGTTTGACCCCTGCCTCCCTAAAACAAAAACAAAAAAGGTATTCCCTGATTTTTCTCGTTGTGATGCTCCCACCAGGGCCACTCTAAGCTACTGACTTGGTGGCATTGAACAAGGAGTAGAAGTGGTGCTTGAACTTGGCTCTCAGGAGCAGGGGTGAGGTGTGCCAGCCTCAGCACATCATGGTAGGCAGGCCATTTACCATCGCAAAGGGGCTATGGGAAAGAGTGATGCTTTGAGGACAGTGAGGCCCAGATATGAATTCTGAGTATAGCCCTTTCTACAAGCTCAGCCTTGGAAAAGTTACTTAATTTTGGGGGGGCCTCGGTTTTCTCATCTGTAAAGTGGATATTAGTATGCCTTTGAATCAGAGCTGTTGTGAGGATTAAGTAACTACAGGTCAAGTTCCCAACACTCAGCAAAGGCTTATTTCCTTTCAACAGACTGTGAGAATACCCCAAGGCAGGGGCTGTAAGTCTTTTTTTTCCCCCCCTAATTCCTCTTGCCTGAGCTGTGTGACCTGCGGCAAGTTACTCGACTTCTCTGTACTTGGTTTATTCTACCATCAAATAAGGGAGCTGGACCAGATGTTTCACATTTCGCTCCCTGCCACACTAGCAGATCCTCTGGCTTGTGCAGGGCTGAGAGGGGAGCTCCGGATGGGGGCAGGGCAGTGAAGGCGTTAAGGCCAAAAACAAAAGACTGGCAGAGGTCTGCCCACCGAGCCATGCTCCTTGCTGGGTGGTGTCGATTAATCGGCAGGGCAAGGAAGAAATGAATCTCTAAAAAGTTTTAAACATGAACTTGTCGGTATGATAGATGGCTACCCCTGTCTGGGAAATTAGATCCAATTAAGGCCACCTTTGTGGAGCAGGCCAGGCTAATTTGGCCGAGGAGCTCCGAGGAAAACACTTAGACCTTCATAGTGCAAGGAGCTGTGTTAAGGGAGAAAGAAAATGTCCATGTCATTATTAAAGGCCTTGGGGTGGAGAGCCGGTCCCCGGCTGGGGAGGCAGGTGGGTGCTGAAAGGTCAGCGTGCCCATCACTGTATGTGGGTGGCGGCATGTGGCTCTAATGTGGCTTATATTAAGTAGCATTTGGAGTGTGGGCTCCAGAGTCAGAAGTTCAGGCTCTCCAAGTCCATGGTCAAGTTACTTGACCTCTGCTCTGCTTCAGTTTTGCCGTCTGGAGAAGGATGCGCTAGCATGCGGCTCAGAGTGGGGAAGGAGGTCAACTGGCCTGATGCCGGGCTGAGCACCCGGTTAGTGTTAATGAACCGTATTATTCTGAGCCCCATGGAAGTGTGGGCTCGCTGAAGGCGGATGCTCCTGAGAGCAGGGAGGAAGGCCCCCATTTTGCCAGAGGTGGCGTAGAGGCTTGGTATGGCTCTGGCCAGGTTTAGCGCTCATACATGTCAGTACCACCTGCTCCCCTAGCTTCCAGAAAAAGGGTGTCAAAGAAAGGCTGAAGGCAGGCTTTGTGGGAGAACTTAATGCCTCCCTGGGCTGCCTGTAGCAGACAGAGGTGGCCAGTGTCCACCAGATTCCTGCTCTCCTTCCCAGGCTAGCATGGCTGCCTGACAGGGGCTGGCTGGCCAGAAACTACTTCCCCTGAGGCTTCCTTCATGTAGGCGGGGCCATTGCCTGGTTCTAGCCAATAGGATGTGGGCAGAAATGACATCTGTCACCTCCAGGCCTGGGCCATAAACATCTCCTTAGACAGCACTCCAGGCTCTCTTCCCTTTGGCAGTGACCTTGGAGCTGTGGAAGGCGCCTGGGTCCCAGAACCGAAGGCTGTCCACTGGACGTGGTACTGGACTGCTGTGTGAGTTAGAATCTCTGCTGTGCTGAGCCACTGAGATTTCAGGGCTGGCCTACTTGGCATCGGCAGTGCCCCTACAGTACAGGATTGGGGCCACTTCGAAATGGGGGGCCTTGCACGTCTGCTAAATGGCCCGGGAGCCCCATGAGGGCAGCTCATGGCTAATTCCATCCTGTGCCCCACGTACAGCACCTGGTGGAGAACAGACCCCTGCTGATGCCCGCATGAATATATGAATGAATGTCCAAGGGCCTCATATCCCTTCTCAGCCTCTGATCCGGGGTCTCTTGTTGCTTTTTCCCCGCCCCCTTTCCCCCCAGCTTCCAGGGAGGGAGATCCAGAAGGAGGCATATGGGGAAAGGGGGAAGAAAAGTGAGGGCTCTGTGGGCTGAGCAGGGAGCCGGGGATCCCCTGGATGGGGCCCCTGGATGAAAAGACCGAAGACAGTGACGGTGAAGAGGTGATTTTGTTAGCACTTCCCGTGTGCCAGGACTACTCTATGAGTGTTCCCCGTAACAGCTCACGTGATCCACTCTACACCCCCAACAGGACCAGCCTCCTTCCACCGGGGGGAAACCAAGGCTTACACAGTGTTAAGAAGAGGAGCCAGAGTTCAAGAAATAGGTCAGCAGCTGAGGGAGGGGGACGTGTAAGCTTGAGGAAAGAGAGCCCCCAAAGCGTGGCCTGTTAGCCAGCTGTTGGTAAAATGGAACTCACACTTTAAACATACCAGGGCTCTTCACCACTGAAAGCTCTCTGATAGTGGATACATTCACATGCCAGGTTTTCAGGGGGCGGGTAAGGTTAGTATTTCAGGGAGAAACCAGGCACTCCAAGCCGGCATGCTCCAAATGAGGGCTTCCAGTGAAAGGGGCAGGTCCCAGGCTGGGGGTGGGGAGCCTGCCTGAGGTAAGGAGGACAGGGACCATGGGGGAAGGGCGCTCACCTGAGCGGGCATTGATCCGAAACTGGGAGGAGCCCTCCAAGGAGTAGATAATAGACTCCTGACCGTACTCCCGGGAGCGGTCCAGGTCCGTGGCATTCAGGAACAGCACTGTGGCCCCTTCGGGGAGACGAAGTGGAGAATGCTCACTCTGGGTGCCCAGCCCCAGGCCCTGGGAGCAGGACCCGGGACCTCCTGGTGACCCGCCTTCAGGAGGCAGGAAGCCTGACGCTGGGGCACTCGGGGATGAGAGGGAGCTCAGCGGCCAGAGCTCCCTGGGCTGTGTGGAGACAAGGCTCCACAGAAAGGGGTCTCGGAGCCCACGGTGGTGGGCCCACCTCTGCTATCCACCTTTCTCTGGCTGCTTGTCATGTGAAATACACTCAGACTGACCAGCTTTGACTTTGAGTCAGAAAGAAATGAGGCCCCATATTAAATTATTCCACATTTATTGTATTCAATTTTAGTCTTGTTTCATCTTGTTCACAAGGGGGAATTTATAAGGGTTTTTATTTTCCCCTTAAAGTCTAGTTAAGGCCCTCATCTTCATTTCCATCTCTGTGAAATCCTGGGTCAGGGGATCAGCCTTTCCCAGCTGTGCTGGCCAGCCCCTCGTCTGCCGGGTTTGGGGCTCCAGCTCCCTCAGTCCCCATGGCTACCCAACTGCCCACTGAGGAGGGTCAGTGTGTGGATTTCTAGAATCACGGCTCCCAGGTGGGAACCCCCGGGGGCCCTCTGGCAACTGTCTGAGCCTTAGCTGCTTCCTCTGTAAAATGGGTCTACCTAGAAAGCCAACTTGTGGGGTTGTTGGTGAGGACGGGGGAGGGGAAAGCATGCGCACACAGGGCGCAGCCCCACGTAGCTCTCTCTGAGCCACAGGCTGGCCTTACTACTGTGTGGATGAATCAGCAGTCCCCGGGGATCTAAGGGGCCAGGCAGAGGGCTGTGAGATAGACGGGTCGTTCTGGCCCCTTCCAGGGAGTGTGAGGCCTCTAATCTGACTCTGGGTCTTCCCCTGAGCAGGAGAAGAGGTACATAGGCCCTGAAAGCTCCTTTATCCAGGCACAAGGTGGAAGAGGGTTAATGCCAAGGTGAAGGCCTTTCCCAAAGAGAGGCCATGAGGATGGCGGGGGACCCGGGGGGGTTGCTTCAGCGGTGATGTTCTCCAGGGGATGCCTGACTGGGACACGGAAGTGGGGGCTGGGCACAGCCTGCTGCCCGCCCAGAAAATCATCAGGCACCAGGAAGGTACCTGGAGATGCTCTAGAGAAGGCCCCATGGTGCCATGGAGGGGCATCCCTGACACTTCTAGATGCTGCAGCAATTCCTGATAGGGCGGTTCTCCCCCCTAGAACAGTCCGCTCTGGGTGTAAGGGTGAAACTGTCACGTAGGACAGAGTGGGTTCCTTGGAACCTGAATGTGAAGCTGGTGGCCTTGGGTCCGCAAGCCAGGCCCTGCCACCAGAGACATGGCTGAGTGTTCTCATGTAGGAACACATATCACCCTTTCCGGCCACCCTGTGGCCACCCCGGCCCTGGGACCTGCCTCACAGCACTGTAATTCACGACTCTGGGTCACTCACTTAATCAAGGCTGTTGGGTTACTGATGGTGACCATTCTCTTCCCTGCGAGGCTGCAGCGGCAGGAGAGTGGGGATCAGGTACCCAGTGGAGCACCCGCACACAGTAGGTGCTCACTCTCTGTAAACAGCTGTTGGCTGGCAGATGACGGGACCCCTCCAAAGGCTCCCCTCACTCATCGTGGGTGTGTCTGCCGGCTTCCTGCCTTCATACCCTCCCCGCCCGCCCGAGCCCATACCTGCCATGATGTTCTCCACCACAGAGACGAAGTAGGCAGGCTTGCTGAAGGTGGGCGGGTTGTCGTTCTCATCCTGGAAGGAAAACAGATAGGTTGGAGGAGACGGGGAGGCCTTCAGGGCTTGCTCCGTGGTCTAAGGGGAGGCTGGGCGTGGCTGGCACTGAAGGGCTTTTGCCTTGACGTATAGCCAGAGCCAGGGGTATGTCATGAAGGGGCCAGGTGCCAGGTGAGCCCCCGCTGGGCTATAGTTCAGGGACAGAGGCCAGGCCTTGGGGAGACAGGTAAAGGTGAGGAAGATGGAGAATGAAGGAAGCAGGAAGTAGCAGATTCCCTGCTCTCCCATTGGTCCCTCAGGGCAGCTCCAAGCTTACTCCTGTTCTCCATGTGGAGGGTGCCCGCTCGAAACTTCCACCCCAGCCACGCCAGGATGACAGTGGAAGGTTCCAGGACCCTCCCCGCCCCCAGAAATGAAGAGAGCAAGGAGCGCTCCAGCCCCAAAGATGCTCAAGTGTGCAGTGGCCGGCAGGTGGGGGCAGGTGCCTCCCCAGAGCCTGAATTCCAGACCCCTCTGCTCACAAGAACAGTTTGCCCCCTGAGCACACCCTGGCCCGGAGCCCAACTCCTCCATTTCTCGAGCAGTCCAGCATCTGGCCCAGCGTTCACCAGCAAGCAGGTCAGAGGGCCAGTGGTCAGGGCCGGCATGGGCTGAGGGGCCGCACGGCCATGGCCTCTGCCTCCTCTGTCTACCTCTTCCACAGCCAGCAGGGACTTCCTGACCCTTAAATACTCTGGTCCTCACCCAGGGCTTTTTGTAATCACTCAATGCGAATTTCTTCCTGTTTGCCTCTTCCTGTTGCCTCTTGGAGGAAGCCCCGCTAACCCACCTGACTCAGCCTTCTCCCCTTTCTCTGGGAACCCTGGGTGGGGGTACTGGGGCGGTGGCTCTGGGGAGTCTCTAGGCTGCAGTGTTCAAGGCACATGCCCAAGGGCCTCAATCCCCAAGGACATGGGAGCTCTTTGAGGGCGTCACTTAGAGTCACTTAGAGCTGAGCTGCAATGGAAGAGAGAGAGAGGCACCACAGCGGCTGTCTACCCCTTGGGACTTTGGGGAACCCCATCCTGCCAGACTGTGGGTGCCCAGAAAGCAATGTTGCTCTTCCCCTTCCCCAGCCTGTCCCCAGGCCCCGCCGCTTCAGAGGACCCATGGAGTGAGGACTCCCCTGACGTCCAGTGCCCCAACAGCATGCCCAGGCATCCCTCTGGTGCAAGCGCGGGTGCCCCCTATATGGATAGATCTAAGCCTTCTGCTTGGCTGTGCAAGAGGGCGTTGAGAATGTCAGCGGCAGAGCATGAGGCAGAAACTTATTAGCGGTGATATTTCCTCGGATCCTGGCACTGCATTCGCTATTAGTTCTAATTCAGCGACTCCCTCTACAAAAGCTTATTGTCCCCTAATGGGAAATCTACAAACCGAGTTTGACTTCTTTATTAAAAACCAACAAGCAGTGGGTGAAAAGGAATCACCTGGCCCCTCTCGCCCGCCCCCTTTTCCTTCAGGAGCCCTGTTGCCCTGATCTGCCTCTCCCCACCCCCAACCTGGGCAGTGAGTGCTGCCATGAGCTACTTATCTTCGCTGGGGATTTTTTTTCCCCCTCAGTTGAGAGAAAATCCCTTTGGTGGATGGAGGCGGCAGCTTAGCCAAGTGACAGCTACTTAAAAATCACCCACATGCAAAATCAACCCAAAGGCGGTGACCTTTTTAAGTGTGGTCCTTAGACATAAGTGACTCTATCATCCCAAAGCTCTGCCTAGAGAGAGGATGTTCACTCATGGCCAAGATGGCACCCATCTTTGTTGCCAGAACCCCCCCCCCCCCCCCCGCTGCCAGGGGCAGGGCACACTTGGAAGGAAAGTGCAGGGCCCTTGCTGACCTGCATAACAGCTCTGAGGGGATTTGAAAATGACCCCTCCTACTGGGCTCAGGGAGCTCCAGGCCAAGTGGATTCCTGCTCCCACCCGCCCCTGCACCCGGGGACCCTGCTGTCTGGTCTCAGGGCGGGAGGCCACGCTTTGATTCCCAGGGAATGAAAGTTTAGTTTGGTCCCTTGGCCGCCCTCTTCCTGCTTGCCCTGGCTCCACCGGAGAAACTGACGCAAAAGGAGAAAGAGGCCCCTTCAGGGCTCCTCAACCACTTCACAGGTTAGGAAGCTGGGGGTTGGGGTAGTCCCTGGGTTTTAAGATCGCATCGGGGCAGAGCTTGGAAGGCCTTGCTCCTCAAAGTGTTGGTGCCCTGGCCGGAAGCATCAACACTGCCCGGAGCCTGTTAGGCATGCAGAACCTCAGCCCATCCTTAGACTCACTAAATAAGAATTTGCATTTTAAGAAGAGCTCCAGGAAATTTACACGAACCTAGGGGAGTACCTGTCTCAATCACACGCAGAGGGCTTCAGGGAAGAATGTGAATTCAGGAGTCAGGTCAGGATTAAAATCCCAGCTTACCAGGACTGCAAGCAAATTCAAACGCCACTTACTAGCCAGAAAGTGAGGAAAGCACTGGTGATCTGGGACCTGCTCTATGCCCCTCCTGAGCCTCAGTTGCCTCATCTGTCAAGTGGGATTAAGAGAGATTGTGTAATATGAAAGCACCTGACATTTGACTGGAGCTTAAGAAGTTTTCATTTCCATTTGGCCAATTCTGCCTGCCCATCCCTGGAGAACCACCTCAACTTACTTCTCTAGACCTCCCCTATTCTCACCCTCTGCCTCATCCGCCTCTCCCAAACCTAGAGGGGTTTTTCTCTGGCTGGCTGAGTTCTCTGGAATTCCCATTTGTACCAGAGATAGCGTGTGCATGGATGCTGCCAATGGGATGCACGTCTGTCTTACCAGCTGTGACAACAGTCAACATTATAGGTGCCAAGTGCCACCTGCAAGACCTCATTTAATCCTCATGACAAGGTCATGAGGCAGTACCATGATTATCCATCCCTATTTTGGAGATGAAGAAACTGAGGCTCAGAGAGCGTTAAGGACCCCAGGTCACATAGCTAGAGGGTGGTAGAGCCCGGTTTCAAAACCATACACCTCCACAGCTATGTGCCTCCCTCCATCCACAGTGCCCCCTTGAGGGGGGAACCAGTTTCGCAGGCACATGTGCAGACCTGGTACTGCAACTTGCACGCATGGGGGGCGTGGGGGAGGGGAGGGGAGGGAAGTCATTGCTTGCCTGAGCGGAGAATACCAGCTGGTTGGAAATGATGGGTGAGTCGGTCAAGGGTTAGGAGTGTGACCAGGACTGGGGGTGGGAGGTTGGGGCTGTGTTTAATCAAGACTGGGAAACGAGGGTCAGGGTCACATGGGTTAGAATACCAAGACGTTGCGATTGGAAGAGAATGCATTCTGGTTCTTTGGCACCCACCCTCTGCTCAATACTTCAAAGGGGGGGTGCTGCGCTGCAGGTTAAAGGCAAGCAGTGAGTGTTTAGGCTTCTGGGAATCTCTTTTCCAGCCTTGCCCTCCTCTACCCTCCCCCACCTCCTTGGGGGGCTTCCTGCCACTCCCTGAATTAGCACCTCAGACTCTGCCCTTCTCTTTGCTGGCTCTGCACAGCCTAACCCTCTGATGCCACCCCAGAATCCTGCTCCCGCATGCCCACCTGCAGGGCTCCCTGCAAGGCCTCACCCTGACCTCATCACTGTCAGCCCATCCTATGCACCAAGCAAGTAGGGGTCCCTGCGCAGACAAGGACCTTCCCGCTCAGGAGCTGGACCCGGAGTCCCCTGTATAGGGTGGAGAGGACAAGGCTTCAGAAAGCTGGGTGTGGGGCAGCGCCAGAGGCTATTGGTGAAGCCGGCTGGGCCAGGAAGGTCATCTAGCACGCCTGCTCTGGAAGAGATTTTCGCGAGCGGATGTCAGATCGCAGCGTATCTCCTAACCTGACAATCTGATCTAATCCTCCTGGAGCTGGTAATGCACTAACTCTTCCGTCAACACGCGTTCACCCTCTCCTGCAGGCAGCAGTCTTTATGAGATTGGGGGGGGGCGCATGCTTGCGCAGTCACTGTGAGGAGGTCTCTGGTGGGGAAAGGCCCACTGGTGCCCCGTCAGACCAGGATCTGCATCCCTGGGATCGCCGGGGGAGCAGCACGGGGCAAATGAACCAGAGTGGAGATGGATTCAGTGACTGATAATTTCAGACATGGAAAAGCACTAACGTGTGCTTGATATTCATGTCAGACAAGCTGTGGTTTGGTTTCAGGCCCTTTTAGATCTTCAGAGGAGCAGAAAGAGGAAAGAAAAAAGGAAGAGGAGGACATGCATAAAGAGAGAGGCAGAAAGAGAGATGACCTTCCAGTAATTCCCTTGAACCTCACAAAGTATGGCTCTAAATGAGGGAATCCCACGACACTTCCTCCTGCTTGAGCTCCAGCTCTTTCCCCAGCGGGTGCCCTGGGCCCCCTAATGGAGTTAGAGCCTGATGGTCAGGCTCATCTTGCATCCCAGGGCCTGGGCCTTCCTGGCTGAGCAAGGACACAGCCTGACAGAGGTTTCCTGGGGGCAGCCTCCGGGGCGGTCTGCTGGGCGATTCCCAGTGCTGTGGGGACAGCCGAGAATGTGGGGGCATGGTCGGACACCACTGGGTTCAGGCAGGGCCCCCACCACTTTAGGAAGCACTCACCACCCCTCACCCTGAAAGGGCACGATGGGCACCCCTGGGTACTTACAAACACCTCGATGGTGACAGGGACAGTGCTGTTCAGAGGGGGGTTGCCAGCGTCCTTGGCCATGACTGTCAGATAAATCAGCCCGTTGGGGATCTGTTCATAATCCAGAGGACGGCTTACGCTGATCACTGAAATGACAGGAACAGGGTCCCAGGCCCTCTCTAAGCAGGTTTTTTAAAACGTTTTAAAGTTTATTCATTTTGAGAGAGACAGAGAGAGTGAGTGTTGAAGGGGCAGAGAGAGAGGGAGAGAGAATCTCAAGCAGTTTCGGCACTGTCAGTGTGGAGCCTGAGAAGCAGACTTTAGAGGCTCATCCAGCCAGGGGTCCCCTGCGGCAGGAAGGATGTACTTGGCACAGACTGGCCAGCCCTGCCTCATTTCCCCCTCCTTCCCCTGAACTCCTGGAGACCCATGGTCTTGAATTAGGTTTACTGACTGCCTGATAGATGCGAGGCACAGTGCTGAGCACACTTGGTGTGGACTATTTTGGTGGTGATGTAAGCACTGCTTTACAGATGAGGAAACCCAGCTCAGAGAGGTTCGGTAACTTGCCCAATGTCACACAGCTAGCAACTTGACAGAGGCAGGACTTGAGCCTAGGTTTGTCTGACTTCAGAGCCCAGGCTCTTCCCCATGGGGTGCGATTGGCTGCTTATCTGTCTGTCTGTCTCACCTACTTATCTGGCACGCTCCATGAGTCTGGGGGCTGCTCAGAGGACAGCATCATGCCTCAGTCTCACTAGTTTGGTTTCTTACCACTTGGCCGTCCAAATAAGCACAGGGTTCATCCACTTACTGCCCAGACTCAGGGCTAGTGGGGGTGATGCCAACAGTGGGGTGCAGACCCTCCATCTCCTATGGCCCTGCCTTCCCTCCCGTGGCCTTTCTCCTCTCTTCTTCCCTCTTTCATCTTCACCCTTTACCCTGTGGGCTCTCCGTGCCTGTCCAGCAGCCTGCTCTGGGCACTGCTTACACTCCTGGGGGGTTATTCAGGGCACGGGGTTCTAGACTTTTCTCTCAGTAGATCTCTGCTTGAAGGTGGTAAAGACACCCCTCCACCCAAAGAGGCAGGCAGAGTGGAAAGGCAGGATTTGAGGTAGCTGAGATGCCCCCCCTCCAATGCCATCTCCCCCCTCCCCACTTCCATCTGGGGAGGGAAGGCACATTGGCTCAGGCGTGGGGGTTGCTGGTGGTCTGCAAAGGCCTGACAACAATATGAAGTCACCACTTTCCATGTGGAAGATGGGAGCAAAATCATTGCCTTAGTAATATAAAGCCTAAGGGGAAGGTCAAGAAGAGGCTGCGGTGTGCAAGCGGCAGACAGATGGAACTTAAACGGGGGACATGGATTTTATAGGGACCCTCAGGCTGCAGCACCTGGGGCCAGGACTACAGTTTCTGCGGCCACACTTCTCTGACCCGACTGTGGGGCACACAAGGGGTTAGTGCTGGGACTGAGTTACCCAAAGCACATCCAGTCTGCCTTGGGGGCACCTAACTCCTCTTCAAGCATCTGGGAAGCTTCCTACAGGAGGGAATGCCCGCATGAGCCCTTAAAACCAGCCAGAGGTTATGCACTTAATGGGCGAAGGGAAGCAGAGCAAAGAGACAGAGAGGAAGGGTTTCCTGGCAGAAGGAACAGAGTCTGCAAAGACACAGAGGTGGCCACTGAGGGGAGAGAGTGGCAAGGGGTTCAAAGAGGCTGGGTTTTGCTGTGGACAGAGAGGCACTGAAAGAAGAAGGTGCACAGGCAACTAGAAGCCAGATCACACGAGTCTGCTTGCACACCTTTGCCTCATGACCTTGGGCAAGTCACTCCCTGTTCTCGGGACCTCTGGTGCCCCTCATCTGCAAAACAAGGTGGGCTCATGACTTTGGAGCCCGAGGCTGCTGCTGCTATTCTCTGCCTGGCTTATAGGCACCAGTGGGGCAGGCAGGGCAAGGTCCAGAGTATGGGACTGTGCCTGAACCCAGCAGGGAGTGGCCACGGCCCGGCGGCAGCTGAAACACGCCCAAAGGATCAGAGGAGGGCTGACAAGCCTCTGTGGACCTGCCCAGGCAGGCTTGGCAAGAAGCAGGGGCCCTGCAGACTGCGGTAACATCAGACTCTGGGCTGACCATGGCCTTCAACCCACAGAAGGATGTAACTGATCAGAGACCCAGACCCTGATCCTATAGGAGGGTGGTCCCTGGCTTGTCGCTCCAGCCGATGGGCTATGGGACAGCCTTCTGGGTCATCCAGGGTGTCAGGGTGTCTGGCCAACCCCATCCCGAGCAAGGCGTGAGTGTGCAGCCTTTCTCTGGCCTGCAGGCCCTCTTCCCCGGCTGGGCCCTCGGTCCCACTGCACACCTACCTCCATAGCCCTCATACACGCTGATGTCGAAGTAGCTGCCAAAGGCGGAGGCATTGACGATGCTGTAGGTGATCTGGTTGTTGGGAGGTGAGTCTTCATCTGTTGCCTGGAAGAGTGCAGACAGGGCACGTGAGCCCTCAGGGGCCAGGGCTGGAAGAGGGCGGGCCCCCCTGGGTCCCCTGCTTTGGGGGATCCAGGCCTTCCTTAGTGGGAGGCTGGCTCCCATGTTGGGGAGGGTGGAGCCAGTGTGGGAATCTAGAAGGTCAGCTGGAGACCTAGGGAATAGGGAAGGCCGGGGCTTATGGAGAGGCTCACCACCATGCCTGGCGTGACCATCTCCTAGACCCTCCAGTCTCACTAGAACAGCCCACCCACAGAGGCCCTCCCTGACCTCTGGACCAGGCAGGCCCTGTGCTGTGCCCGCAACTGGTCCCTCCACACCTATGGCATCTTACTCAGTTTCTGCCGGCCTCACCCGCACGGTCCGCTCCATGACAGCAGAAACATTACATTTCCTTTTTAATGTTTATTTATTTTTGAAAGAGAGGCAGAGCACGAGCAGGGGTGGAGCAGAGAGAGAAGGAGACACAGAATCCGAAGCAGGCTCTGGGCTCTGAGCTGTCAGCACAGAGCCTGACGTGGGGCTCGAACTCATTGAGAATGTTGAGATTATGACCTGAATCGAAGTCTGATGCTGAACTGACTGAGCCCCCCTTGCACCCCAGAAACCTTCCATTTCTTGACTGCTGCCGCATACCTACAGTCCGGCACACAGTGGGTATCACTGCATATGGCACAAATGCAAGGTGGAGGGAGAATGCACTGGGATGGGGTCAGACAGATCCTTCTTTCCCTTGACTGTTGTCTGGGGCGACTGTATTTATTAATTAGCTTCTTTTCAGATGCCTCTGATCCCAGAGGCCCCCAAGGGCGTCCCACCAGCCTGGGTGTGAGCTGCGTGGGAGGATGGGCATGGTGGGTGGGGCCTGCCTTCTATGCACCCCCCACCCCGTGCCGGCCCTGCTCCCCGCCCTCACCCTGCCTGCTTCAGAGACCCGTTGTAAATGGAGGCTCTGGGTCCTCCGGGTGGGCACAGTGGGGAAGGGGAGTGAGGACAGTCAGAAGTCTCTGGTCAGAGTTATGATGTGTGGGGGACCCACTGTGGGAGGACATTGGGGGTGGGGGTTCCTGAGTTCCGGACCTGACTTTACTACTCCTCTACCTCTGGGGACTGCGTCTCCCCTCCCGTGTCCCCGTCTGTGAAGTGGGTGGTGCCCCACGGTCTCTGGTTCTGTCCAGCTGCAACAGTTCCTGACTCCACGCAGCCACCGAGGGGCCTAGATGGGGGTCCTTTGTGAGATCCTGCTTGCCACTTATCAAGGGAGATGGGGAGGACATCCCTTTGGGGAAGGGCGACCTGAAATTTAAGTGGACACCGACCCTTGGCCCACTCGGTTACCAGGGACAGGAGGGAATGCCCAGAGGCCTGACCGATCTGGGCTGAATTCTTTGTGGATGGCAGGTTGGCGGCTCTGTGATGAGGGCACAGAGGGACGGAGGGAGGAGGGCTGGGCCGCAGGAGGCCGTGGCCTCTCTCTTACCCGGAGCCGCACCAGCTGTGTGACGGAAGGCTCGTTCTCTCTCAGGGCCCCCACGTAGGCGTCCTTCTGGAAGGTGGGCACGTTGTCGTTGACGTCCAACACGTTGATCCTGACCCGGCCTGTGGTCTCCTCACCACCCCCATCCCGGGCGATGACGGTCAAGGTGAAGCGCTGGATGAGCTCATAGTCCAGTCTGGCGATCAGCATGATGAGTCCTGTGTCCTTGTCCAGGGAGAACCTAGGTCAGATAGGACAGAGGCAGAGAAAGGGACCCTGGTGTAAAGCAGCTTGTAGGTAAGGCCTGTATTTACCAGCCTGTCCTTGCCTGAGGTGATAAGCAGAGATGAATGAAGTCAGATATCTGCTCTAAATAAGAAAAGCCCCGTTATTTCTCATGCAGAGTGGGGTGGGAGGTGGTGGGCAGGGATCAGGACCACACTCTGTGTGTGTGTGTGTGTGTGTGTGTGCGCGCGCGCGCGCACACACACACACACAAGAGTCAGCTGTGGAACCGGAAGGAGCAGGTTAATTTCATCAAAGAGGAAACTGAGGCAGAAGGACCTTCCTCCTGATGTGAGCAGGAATGTCTGCCTAGTGCAGATATTTAGATGCCGTAGAACTGTGATGGTCAGAGATTCTGCCATTTCAGATGGTTTTGCGCCAGAATGTCTTAAATGTGTGGCGAAGTATCCAGCTGGGGGTGGGGGAAGGGGTGTTGGTCATCTCTTGGGGAATACCCCTGGCCTTCTGCTCAAGGGATGAGGCTTGTGCAAGAGCCCGGGGAGGAGCAAGGTCCAGCAAGACCATCCCTCTACCTGCCTCCTCTCAACATCCCCTCAGGAGCCTCCCTTGAGCTGTCAATTGGCATCTGTATGCCCAGACCTGGGCCACAGCTGCCAGCCAGCGAGCCCAGAAGGTCCCGGCTCCAAGCCCAGGAAAGGAGATGGGAAGAGATCAGGAAATCCAAGGTGATCAGGACAGGGCCCCTGAGGGTGCCCTGAGGGACAAGGGTGCCCTGTACACTTCTCTTGCTGCTAGTTCCTTCCTCCCATTTTGAGGCTCTGTCCCAAGTGGCAGAGAACGGCCAGATGCCCCTAACGGTCACTGTCTCTTCCTGCTCATTCACAAAGATAGTTAGGACCAGTAATCCAAGCTGACGGCCACTGTCTTACTCCTGTGGAACCTCTAGATGCAATGGACACTCCATTTTTAGAAGCAGACCTGCTCTCGGACTTCAACTTGGCTTTTGATCACATTAAAAATGAGAGGGCTTCCCTTTCAGCTCAACTGCAGACGTAGGAAAGAGAGGCCCAGAACCATGGAGGGTGACAGGGCAGGGCTGGCACAGGTCTGGTGGGGAGGGAAGCCACCCTAATGTTTGAAGGCACGTGGAGAGCCCCTTCCTGCTGGAGGCTGGGCGGCCTGGGGACGAAGACCACATGCAGAGGCCTGGCCCTCGAGCTCACCAGCTGTGTGACTTTGGGCAAGGGACTCAGCCTCTCTGCATTTCCTCATCTGTAAAGTGAGGATGATATAGTGCCCAGTGCTGAGTTCCTCTGGTGCTTGTGGGGGTTACATCAGACAATGCGTGTAAAGTCCTGGGCAGAGAGCCGGACACACGGTCTGGGCTCCTAAGTGCCAGCTGCTGCTACGGCCATTGCTTGCTGTGTCGTTGTGAATGTTTCAAAGCTTCTCCGTTCCCAAAGCTCAAGGCTGTCTTTTGAATGTCAGAGACTGTGCCTCAAGAGAGATTAGAGGACTTGATGAGACTGTGCCACAGCCAGGGCCAAACCAGCAGCGGTGCCCGTGGGTTCTGACTCCTGGCTCAGTGCTCTAGCCATGGGGCCACGGCTCCCTCCCTGGGCACGGAGAAGTCTCCTGGACCTCGTGAGTAGCAGAGGGGCTACTGAGTGAGTCCTGAGGGGCCGGGGCTGGGTCTCACCGGTCAGGGTCATCGCTGAAGAAGTAGTTGACTTCCCCGAAGGTGCCCACGTCGTTGTCTGTTGCCTGCAAAGGTGAGAACAGGAATTCGTTACCGCCAGACCCAGCGGACCGCATGATCTCACCAGGAAATGTCCACAGCAAACCCACGGTCTGCCCACACAACTCCTCTGGCTGCATCTTCTAGAGGTGTGCTATTCAGTACGTTGCCACCAGTCACCAACGGCTAGTGACATTGATGCTGGAAAGCAGGGTTCTGGGGGAGGAGCAAGTGGTCTGAGCAGGAGCTGCCTGTGCTGCCATGGCCACAGGCACTGGGCTGGGAGAGGCCCTTGACCACAGTGGGGGCCCATCAGAATCCTTCTCCAGGATTCTTCTTGCTATTGCTGGGGCTGAAAGCTCCCTTCCAGGAACAACGTGGACTAGCAGCTGCTGGACATATAGGGGCAATGAAGGTGCCCCCAGAGGAGAGCTAGGAGGACAGAGGCGGAAACTTACAGGTTCTAGAGTCCTGACCCCGACATCCCTTCCACCTTCAGTTTGGTTTGTGAGTCCAACCAGACCTCTTTCACGTGGTCTAGTCCAACTCGCCCTCTGCCACTTGCCATCGGAAGAGACCGGAGGGAGAGAAGCCTGCCTTATGCTGATGACAGTGGTAAAGACGGTGACCACTCCCAGCCTGTCCTGACGTCACACCTTGTCCATCTTCAAAGACCGCCCATGTTTATTAGGACCTCATTTTATCTTCACAACTGTCCCACATGATGAGGAAGACAGAGGTTTCTACCCATTTCACAGAGCACAAAACTGAGGCCCAGTCCCCAGCAAGGTCCTGTGGGTTCCTGTCACCCTTCTAGGTCACACACAGGTGAAAAGAAAGTGGGCAGAATCAGGGACCCCTACTCCCAGCCTGGGGTTCCTTTCTTTAGGCCACCTCCCCGGGGCCCCTCTCCATCTCTCCCGTTCTCTAGGATGGCAGCACTTCTAGCAGAGATTTTTGTGGCTGGGACTTCTGGCTCCTGCATTGTCCCTGGCTTGGTTACTGTCCACGGTATAGGTTAAAATGACACCAGTCATTCGTTCATTCACTCATTCCTTAGTAAGCATTCACCATGTGCCGGGCACTGTGACTCTGCTTGGAGTCATTCAGGCCACTCACTGCCCTGAAGCTGGGCAGTCTGCCACCTGCCGCCAGATGCCAGGAGGAAACGCCCTGGGCTGACCCTGGGGGCATATGCTTTACTCTCAGGGCCATGACTGGATAGAATTTCCACTAATAAAAACTTTTGTTTCAATACTTTTATTTTTTGGCTTCACTGAAGTATAATCGACAAATAAAATGGCAATATATTTGACGTGTACAACATGATGATTTGATTTACATGTACGTTGTAAAAGGATGCCCCCACTGAGTTAATTAACATATCCGTCACCTCACTTATATACCTTTTAAAAACTTTTTCAGCAAGAACACTAAAGCTGTGCTCTCTTGGCACATTTCAATTCTACGCTGCAGCCTTATAAACTATAATCACCATGTTGTCATACATGAGATTCTTGGACCTCATTCATCTTTATAGCTGAAACTTTGAACCCTCTTACCAACCTCTATTGCCCCCACCCTCAAAATCTTTGTACTAAGTATTTTTTGAGGGTCTTTTCAAGTTCCTACATTCTCGGGGCACCTCAGTGACTCAGTTGGTTAAGCGTCTGACTCTTGAGCTCAGGTTATGATCTCACGGTTTGTGGGTTCGAGCCCTCCATCAGGCTCCGTGCTGAAAGTGTGGAGCCTGCCTGGGGTTCTCTCTCTGCCCCCCATTCTCTCTGTCCCTCCTCTGTTTACTCACTCTCTTTCTCAAAAAATAAATATACCTTAAAAAATATAAAGTTTCTAGATTCTGTGAAATCTATTAAATTCCATGTTCTTTGTGATAAAGCTGAATTTCTGAGAAAAATTTGTGTTTAGTATACTTATCTCAGGAAGGCAGATAAGTCAATAGTGTATTTCTATACCGAATGATTCAAATGAAAAAATGTTTGTACCCAAAGGGTTCAGGTCTCAGTTACCCCAAAAAACTTGATTCTACAGAACGAAGCCATTTCTGGGACTGTGCGGAGGCTGCTTTTACAGGACTACCTCTTGTGCCCAAATTCTCATTCAATGTCCCCACCACTTGCATTCTAGCAAACTGTGTAGACTTGCACTGCGCCAGGCTCCAAGGACACCACAGCTTCTTAGGGATGCAGGTCGGATAGGTGACCAGGAAGATGTTGAGCGATGTAACCCACCCTCCTACACAGGGCTGATTCCCTGACAGACCCTCCCCCTTGTCACATATTTTTACAGACAAGGACATTTACAGCTAAGGAAACTGAGGCACAGAGAAAGTAAAGAGCTCACCCAAAGCTGCACAGGGATTTGAACCCAATGCAGTACTGCCATGCCCTTGGTCTCTGTGTGTTACTGCTTCTAAACCAAGAGGAGAGTTTGTTCTCAGAAGAACCTGCACCTGGTGAATCCAGGGGCAAGGAGACAAAGCTCCTTAGAATTAGCCCACCTTTCTCCTCCCCACCCAGGGGCCAGAAGAGAAGGGGGGGTGAGGGGCCCCTAAGTCCCCTTTCATTTCACTAACTGGTCAACTATGCAGTTACGCCCCCAGCAGTTTGGTCTGGGGGAGAACGGACTAGATGCATCAAGCCCTTGGTGAGGGGTCAGTGCGGTGGAGAGACCCCGGTTCTAGGTCAGGGTCAACAGCCCAGGTCACCGTATGACCGAACATCACCCCCCTCAGGCCTCAGCATCCTCATATGTCAAAGGAAAGAGTTTGTGGGAACAATACAGGCAGAGCTGCATCTCCCGGACTCACCTCTCAGCACGGACAGTGCCTGGCATAGAGCGGGTGCTTCATAAATGCTTGGAAATGAATGGACAATTTCTAGTAAGAAGGGGGAGGGAAACGGGGGGGGGGGAGGAGAGATGGAACAAAGCCAAGGAGGAGAGCGGATTCAAAGAGGGAGGGAGCAAAAACGGCCGAGAGAAGGGGACAGGGACCAGAGAGGGCAGCTAGGAGGTTTGGAGGAGATCAGGAGGAAAGGGAGGGCTGGGCCATGCAGAAAGTAAGGGGCCCAATCAAACCATGGGAGGGGCTCCTGGCCCTGGGGACAAAGCCCTTCATATCTGGGTGCACTAAGGAACTGCACTCAGACTGTCAGGGCAGGAAGGACCCCTGAGGTCCCCTTGTCCAGGCTCCTTCACCCTGGGGCCCAGGGAAATTAGAGAACAAGATGGGACAGTCCTCTCTCCCCAGGCAGATGCTGGCCTCCAACCTCCCACCCCAAATCCCCATTTCCTCCCCCGGGAGACTGGGCACAGCCATGGCTACCACAGTGACCCCTCTCCCCCGAGGCCTCTCGCTGCCCAAACCGCTGATGCTGACCAGGGAAGATTTGTGAGTCCTTTAGTGCCACTGTCTAATGACCGTATGAAATATGCATGCCTGGTGAAGAAGAGAGGGAGAACTTTCATTTTTCAAACGCACAAAGCAGAATAAGGAGATGAAAAGCTGCCTCTGTGCCCCTTCCAGGGTGGGGGCAGCTGGCACCCCCTGGGGGCCTCGCGGTGCACTGGGGCCAGGGCCAGCTGTGGGGCAGGGGCGTGGGTGGGACAGGGGCAAGGGCTCTGTGCCTGGGTGGAGGCAGCCAATCCGATCGCTCAGTGGGCCTGCTGAAGGCCCTCCTGGGTTCCCGGTGTCCTCAGGGGACACGCGCCGGTGGGGGACACACGGTGCCATCAGGCCTTTGCTGCCGGCTCGAGTCCCATCACGGAGCCAGGCTAGACCATGTGCAGCTCTGTGCAGACTGGTGCAGCCCACCCGCTCCCTTTGCCTGGACCGCTTCCTTCCTCTCCTGCCTGGCTCATCCACCTCTGTCCTCTGTCTCCCCAAGGCTGGGTTAGGACTCCACCCTCCGGGACACACTGGAAGCACCTCCCATCAGGCTGCCGCTCCCTGAGAACATGGTGGGGTCACGCGGCTGGGACAGGGGGGCTCAGGATCTCTGTCACCTATAGCAACATCTGCCTCCACACCTCCACAACATGCATTCACACACACATGCTTCATTCTGGCCGCAGCCCTAGGAGCTAGGTATGACCCCTGCTCCCTGCTTTTACCAAATGAAGAAGCAGAAAGGATTCTAAGCGGGTAACTTGCCCAAGATCTCATAGGTGGTCAGAGGCAGAGCTGGCCTCCAAACGGTTTAGTGTCTTGATGGATACGTAACCCCCACGTCCCTCCCGTGGAAGCCAGGGAGCGGCTCTGCTATGCCAAACAGACAGTGACTCTTGAGCCCGCTTTAGGAAGGAGTGGTTGGGAAGTGACCAGGGTCAGTGCACAGAGGACACACGTCCCCCTCATGCCATGAACACCTTCCTACCTGCCATGTTCTAGGAATGCATACATACATCCATCTTCCTGCAGGCTGATGTCCAGGGACTTGCAGGCCAGTCAGACAGCTGCAGGGATGGGGGACGGGATGGCCCAGCTGGCCAGGCTGGGTGGCTCTGAAACTGTCCCTGGCCATTCTAAGAAATGCCAAACCAGTGTTCCAGGTGAGCCCTTCAACTGTGCTACAGGCCTCCCCTGAGGTGCCTCTATATACCCACTACTGTCCCCCAGGGCTAGAATCCCACCCATAGGTACACACTAGTATACTCTACTGCTAACTGAGACTGTCAGAAGAGGCCCAGGTCCAAAGCAAGGCGAAAATGATTTTCCTCTGCTCAAAAAGGAGGAATCCACCTGCGATGGCTCCTTACTGTTGCTGAAATGGATCCAGACCAGCACCCTGGTGGCAAGGCTTGGCTGGCTTTGGCCACCTAGTATCTGCCTCTCCATGATGCATCTGCACTGTTCTCTTACCGCCTTCTGTAACTGCCATCCAAACCCCAGCCCATCCCTCAGGACCAACCCCAAATGCCCCCTCACTTATGCAGCTCCCTGACTGCTCACTGCTTTTGATCTAAGAGCTGTTGGCTGTACCTGTTTGGGGATATGGGGTACAATCTG